GGGGGGGGGGGGGGGGGGGTGCGTGGAGTGAAAAGGGGGTGTGCCAATATCCCTCCCCATTATCTTATTTAAAGTACTCCTTAGGCTAGCGTTTCTTCTCTATCTAATATTTAATCGGATTGGTCTTCTTAATATATCTTGCTGCTTTCACGCCAGGTGTTCCTTCTTTGGGGCGTGTCGGGGGTGCTCGCGGTTTTGTTCCAGCTGGGGTGGAGCAGAGTTCGTCTTCGGGTTCTTGCTGTTGTTTTCTCTTCCAATTATTGGGTTATAGAGTGGCCGTCCGGTGCTAAGGGAACTAAATTAATGTTAGCTTTATAGCTGCGAGAGCAGAGGCTAACATGCCTTTCCGCTGGGAACGTCGCTGGCTGGAGATGGGAATGGGTAGCTCTCCTCGTGGCTCCTATCGAGAGCTTGTATCTCTCTCAAGCGTGCACTTCTGCGAATAGGTCCCGGGGCCCGCTTCTTCTTAATGCTACAATGCGACTCCCCTATTCTTGGTTAGCATAATCTTCGTCGCGCAAATCAAATACTTACCTCTGCCGTTGATACAGGAGCGCGGCTCTTCTGTTTGATTAAATGTGCGGTATTTGGCCATGCTGAGAGTTGGTATAAGAGCGAGAGCCGTATATATGTTGCCACCGTGTCTGATAGTGGTCGGAGTGCAGCAAAAGGATAGGTCGACGTTGAGCGTTGGAATAACTTCGGAAAATTATCCAGGCAAAGGCCGAATAAAGGGGAATCTGGGGCATTATTGATCTATTGAAAACAGATGCGAATGTTAATGAAATGCTTCCAGAACTTACAAAGCCTGCGCCCCCAGCAGCTGACGATAGTACGTTTGCCGCGCAAATGACCTGGAAGATGGCATACGATGAATACAAGGACGACAAGGTCCTATTCGACAAGCAAAAGGAATCACTGCAGGACCTACGCATTTTTATCCTACAAACTGTGGATGCCAAATACACCACGTATACCTACGGCATCTCATCAGCACGCAATCTACTTGCCAAACTCAAGAAATCCATCGCGCCATCAGACAAAGCACGCCGGAACGAAATCTACAACCTATGGCAGAAGCAGAAGCACTACCCCACTGAACGAACCGTAGAAAAATGGCTAAGGGACTGGGAAACATTGTACAGTGATGCATCAAGGCTACGGCTGCCCGAGGCCGCCGACGACCGTGCCCAAATCGATTTCCTACTGTCCCTGATGGAAAAACATCCAGAATTCGCAGGCTACTGGCGCCAGAGAATCGCACACCGAACGGACACAAAAGAATCAGCACCTAGCCTAGCGGACCTAGTCAGCAAGTTCCGAATGCAGCGGCACGAGCAACTAGCAGCGCAGGGCAAGGATTCCCACTGGGCCTACGCCACTACGTTGCAGGGCTGGGATATCGAGCCAAAACAGGAATCCACTGAGGCTACAGACCCTCAGGGATCCTGCCTGTGCGGCAAAAATCATCCTGGAAGGAACACTACGGTCGCGCATAAAAATGCTTCTGGCGCGTAGTCCTAGACTTGAACCCGATCTACACCGAGGGCTGCATAAATGAATACAATCATGGAGACCGAAAATGGCGGGGCGCTGAACAAGACTCCAGCGGCGCAACCGGCCACCGAAGCCTGTTGTCTCGCGGCATTTGGAAAGGGACGCTGCAGATGGCGCTGATCCAGATGCGACTCTACTCGACCCGTGCTTATCCCGTCGGCTGGCTGACGTCTGCGACCGACCTAGTTGTAGAAGGCCACCAAGAGCTTCGTCGAGGCAGCTCCGCGCTCGCCGTGTCTTGACACCAGAAAGCTGTCCCTCGACATCAGGATCTCCTCGACGAAGTGTACGTTACAGGTCCTCGGAGTGGTCTCATGAGACAAACGCTGTCCAAGAGGCAGAGCATTCCTGAAGGTACAGGCAATCGATGCTTTGAGCGACTCACTCTGCCGACTTTCACGTCCTTCCAGTGTTGGAGTTCGGGGGTATCAAAGGCTTTGACTTGGGTGGGGTCCCTTCTCCCTCTAGTACAGGTAGACCTTGGGTCGATGGAACGCGCAGTGAGGATGTGCGTGCTTGTCGTCATCCGGTTGTCCATCCTCTTTTTCCCTGACTGGACCCAATGTAGCGGTTGTTACCGGCCCTCAGTTTGAGGCAGACTTCCCGAAACTTGTCTACTTGTTCCACCGAATCCCTGTGAGCTGATAAGACCTAGAGGGTGGGCCATTTCCTATTAGTATATATTCGGCCCGTACGGCCACTACAATACAAGCAGAGTTCACATCAATTTCAACCTGAGTTCTTGAGGGCTTCTTTTCACTCTCCTTTGTACTGCTGTATCTATTTCCCAGCTGGGAGGGTGTTTATCGGCGCAGATATACGGGCAATTACAGTAGACAACATTTCTCCGTCGCTTGCTTCGATCCGTTACAGAAGCAGATGTCCTGTATTCAACGAGTGCGTGCTTGGATGGCAGACGTATCGCGATAGAATGGGGAAACCGAGGATGGTGCAGAGGCAGCGGCGAAACAAGCGCAGGATTCGTATGTAGAAGGGACGGTGTGCTATATGAGTGAACTAAATACGCAGAATGTCAGCCCTTGAATACTTCTGGAAGCTCAATAGAGCTTACATCGCGGCCATCAGAAAACCCAAAGCCCAACAAATCCGGTATTTTGATCTCCGGGCAGTTGTCTTGCATCCAAGCGTATGTAGCCACTTCACAACCGATCTTCTCATCCACGCTGCCGACATCTTCACCCAGTCTATAAGCCATCGGACACCTCATAAGCACTGTCCTGTTTGGCTGTCCATTCTGCCCTTCCACCGCAACAGGAATGCAGACGTTAAAGCTTCCACGAATCCACCCTTTCCAATGTGATACGACACATTGTGCTCGGTTCACTCCCAGATGGTGTGCAGTGAGGGCCTCGATGTCGCTGGTGTGCTCGAAAAGATAGGCATAGACCTTACGGGTTTCTGGCACGTAAGTAAGCTTCTTCAATATATTCGATTCATGGTCGACCGCTGACTGGAATTCGATCTGCCTATGAAGAAGATGCAGTGCAGCTGGCATGAAGGATGTCGAAGAACCGCGAATATCGATGGGTCTAATTCACAATTTCTGAGAGCTTCTAGCGTAAAGCAGGTGATGTTTGTAGAAAGGCCCTTGTGAAATGCAGGGCCGAAGGGTTCGTCGCGGGCGCGTACAGTCGCTTGCAAAACCGGCGTGACCGGCTTCCCCGCAAGCGCGCTCCCCAAAATTCCTTACTGCTGTGACTGCGTCTTACCGAATGTAGTCAAGTCTCACACAAAGCCAGCAGGGCAGTAAACAAACCCTTTACATTATTACCATATGGCTGCTGCGATGCTGCAGAGTCGGGGAACTCCTTTGTGGATGGTGGAAGCGGTCGGAGAGCAGGTTCTTGGCATTCCGCGCACCTAATCGACGATCCGACCTAAGGTTTTTGGCATAGCTAATAACTATCGTGACCTTTTTGGGGGTTCTTTATCCGATAGAATTGGCACTTCGAAATGGCTGTTCCGCCCCCACCAAGCGCTCCCGGGGCTATTGGCCATGATTGGCGGCCACGGTGCGGCGAGGCTGAGGCAGACCAGCGCAACAGAACGATAACACCATCAGCTCCCCATCACCATGAAGTACCTTCTTCCTTACAACGACGCCCATGGGCAAAGAGCGCTGAAACTACCTATGAGCTATGGTATCATCTCGTTTGAAGCGCCTCATTCCGACCCGAGGTCATCGCAAGGACACAGTAACCACCCTCCTCCACTGCTTGCTTTCGCCAGGCTGAACCCGGTAGCAGGTCGGCACTCCTTCAAAGACAGCAGAGCCTTCACTTGAGACATGCCTACAAGGTCTCGAGGTGGTGGCAGACGGAGACAGTCCTCTTGTTGAGTACGCTGGATCTTGTACACTATAACGCATAACCTAACCCTCTACAGTATCGTCGTTGTTCATGGGCTGAATGGACACCGAGACAAGACCTGGACGGCTGCAAATGGCGTCCACTGGCTTCGCGACCTCCTTCCGAACGATATCCCGAACGCGCGCGTCTTCTGCTGGGGATACGATGCGAACACTCATGGCGGTCGCGTTAGTTGCCAATACCTCTACGACCATGCAAAATCTCTTGTGTCGGATTATGTCTGCGGAGGAGACTTACAAATGTAGGATGTAGAACAGAGGTGTAATCTGCACGACGTTTCTGACTCTTATAGACGACGAGGCGGCCCATAATCTTCGTGGCACACAGCCTCGGTGGCATCATCGTTAAGAGCGTAAGGCACGCTTCCCTTCTATTATGCCTGCGACTAACCGAGCCAGGCCCTCATCCACTCGGACGCTGCTCGGAAGGGAGCGCTAGAAGAACACCGATCTATCAAGGCCTCGACATACGGCATCGTATTCATGGGCACGCCTCACCAAGGCGGCAGCGGAGTGCAGCTGGGAAAGCTGCTGGTAAATGTGGCGTCAGTGTTCGTAGCAGCTGATGACCGGCTGATGAAGCACCTGGAGCGAGACTCGGAATGGCTCCAGCAGCAGCTTGGCCAGTACGGGCAGATCAGCGGAGAGTTTGTGACCAAGTTTGCCTATGAGGAGTACATGACTCCAACAGTGCTAGGCCATTCAATCATGGTATGTCATCTCTCTTCATTTGAGATACAACAGCCGCTGATCGTGCAGGTGGTGCCACGAGCATCGGCCGTCGTACCTGGAGCGGCTGATGGAGAGCCGATCGTCATCCATGCGAATCACATCGACATGGTCAAGTTCCCGTCGAAGGAGGACAGTGGATACAAGACCGTTTCGGGGCATTTACAGATCATGGCTCAAAGTGCAAGCGATGTTATTCCTTTGCGATGGGAGGAGGAGAGCAGAGTCAATGCGGGTATGTAGCACCAATGTATAAAAGATTGAAATGTTAATAAGAATAACCAATGGACATGCAAGCTCGTATGAACGCCGAGGAAAGCTTTTCTCTCGACTTTAGCCTGTCCGATGTTTCTGAGACCGACCGCTTTGTCGCGAGACAGGACGAGCTGGCCGAAATGCACAAGACACTCGACGATGACATGCGCCGGACCGTTGTTCTGCACGGCCTTGGCGGAATCGGCAAGACCCAGCTCGCGGTTGCGTACGCCAAACTCCACAGAGCCGATTACTCGGCTATATTTTGGCTAAACATTAAAGATGAGGATTCGTTAAAACAGAGCTTCGCAAGGGTTGCAAGACGGATCTTGCGGGAGCACCCTTCAGCTAGCAGATTGGATGCTGTCACGGAAGACAGCAAGCTTGATGAGGTGGTTGATGCGGTCAAGCGCTGGTTGGATCATCCCAAGAATACACGATGGCTGGTGGTGTACGACAACTACGACAACCCAAAGCTCGCAGGCAATACGGATCATGCCGCAATCGACATCCGCCGGTTCCTACCCGAAGCATATCACGGTTCAATTATCATTACAACCAGGTCGGCGCAAGTGAGCGTCGGTCATCGCATTCGACTTGGCAAGCTGAAGGATGTCCACGACAGCCTTCAGATCTTGTCTAATGCGTCACGGCGGGAGGGTGTATTGGATGGTAAGTCATCTCTCTTGCTCGCAGATGCAGAGTTGACTGTACAGATCCCGATGCCGAGCAGCTTGTCAAAGAGTTGGACGGGCTTCCGCTGGCCCTGGCCACGGCCGGCGCATATCTTGACCAGGTGCCAACCAGTTTCATGGACTACTTGCGTCTGTACAAGGCATCGTGGCTGAAGCTGCAGCAGACAAGTCCCGAACTAAGCTCGTACGAAGACCGAGCATTGTACTCCACATGGCAATTGTCGTTCGACCACATCAAGCAGCAGAATGAGCTCTCGGCTAAACTTCTCCAACTGTGGGCTTACTTTGACAACCAAGACATCTGGTTTGAACTTCTGCGAGAAGGGGCTTTAAATGGTCCGGAATGGCTCTCTCAACTGACGGAGGACGAGCTCAGCTTTAACCAGACAGCCAGGTTGTTATGCGACCACGGACTGGCGGAGGTGGACAAGTCATTGAAGGAGATTGGGCTTGAATCGAGAGGGTATAGCATGCACAGCTGTGTCCACTCATGGACAGTTCATGTTTTGAATCAAGAGTGGGATTCTAGGACAGCAAGTCTTGCGCTTCAGTGTGTAGGCTCGCATGTACGGGACAACAACGCCAGCCATGTCACTCAACGGCGGCTTATTCGACATGCAGCTAAGTGTTGGTCCTCTGTCGTCAATCACGTAGTCGGCGAGGATGGCATAGAATGGGCTCTATACTCTTTCGGATACCTCTACGCGGACCAGGGAAAGCTAATTGAGGCAGAGGAGATGTATCAGCGGGCACTGCAAGGATACGAGAAGGCATGGGGTCCAGACCACACATCAACACTCGATACGGTCAACAACTTGGGCAGCCTCTACGTGGACCAGGGAAAGCTGATTGAGGCGGAGGAGATGTATCAGCGGGCACTGCGAGGATACGAGAAGGCACTCGGTCACGACCAAGTAAAGACCTATATCCCAGCGCTTAATACTACTCAAAACCTGGCTATGCTATATAAGCAGATGGGTAGGGCTATTAAAGCAAAATAATTGTATATGCGTGCCCTCTACGGTGTCGAGACAGTTTTCGGATATTCAAGCAAACGGTTCCGGGATATTAATGCAGCTGTAGATGGTTTGCATAGGAAAAGTAGATAATAGCCTTACTTATAGATTAAGTACTCTTATAATTAATCTTTAAATATAACCCTTTTACTAAGTCCTGTCTAATCACGTGCTCTATACTAAAACTTAATTTAAAAAGTTATTTATAAAAACTTAATAGGTAAACAGTAATTAGAAAAGAATATATTACTATACTATAGAAGTTGTAATATAAAAAAAGAAAAAAGGTTAAAGGCGCAGCTGCTAGAAGTAGGTTCCTAGCGCGTTTAGCGCTAGCTGCTAGTGCGCCCTCCTAATCGTTATATAACCACGTAACATTTTATAACTATAGGTAAATATCGCTTATAAAATAAAGGAAAAGGCCGTCTAAGGCCTAATACTACCTTTTTCCTCTGCAGGTCCGAGCTCCTGTAAGGAGTAGCAAAAGAAAAAAGGTTATAAACTAAATAAATAAGTTTCTAAGCGCTGGTGCGCTTAGAAAAAACTTGCTAGAAAGTGCTAATACTATAAAAATTGTCTTAATCTTCCTTTTTAGGTCGCTAGTTAGGCGGAAAAACTTAGGCAAAAGGGGCGCTGCTAAATGTACACCCTATATTTACTCGGTGTACACCCCTTTTCTACTCCGTATACACCCTTCTTACGTCTGATCTTCTGATTGGTCCGGAGGAGTGCTCCGGGGCCTCCGATTCGCTCGCTTACGTTTCTTACTAATTCCAAATGCTCTCTCCAAGTGCGGCGTGGCCACAAAGCATTATATCCTGATCCTCAACTTCCTCAATACACTCACCATGGCCCTCAAACCACCACCGCCACGGTCCTACTGTACGCTAGATGAAGCCGAGGAAGTGCTTAGAGAGCATGCAAAGGCGCAGGGCTACGGGCTCATCAAGTTCCGTTCAAAACCAGACAGAAAGACGAAGGAAACGAGGAAAATATGGTACCGATGCTGCTTTGGAGGCACCAGAGAGTCTCATGCACGCGTGCGCAGTACGTCTACTAACAAAGTAGACTGTAAGATGAGCGGTACGCTCACTCGGCAGCCTCCTGGAGTTAATGGCTCACGTGTTTAGCTATGGGAGACGGTGGAGGAAGCTCACAACAATCACAACGCTATGCTCAAACCTACGGCAGCCGCCTGTAATAGGAAGCGCTCGGCATCCACGAATGCCCTTATTCGAATAGATGCATCAAGCGGAACAAAGCCTAATAAGATGTATACAAAGCTGTTGAAGAAAGGGGTTACTATCACGGCGCACGATATCACCAATAAGCGCACCCGGTATAGGAACGAGCTTCTCGGCGGCCTTACGCCTATCCAGGCGCTCCTCCATACGTTAGAAACCTCTACATTCCCGGCACCTAACGGCTGTAATAGGAAGTACGTATACAACTTCACAAAAGATGAGCAGAACCGAATTGAACACCTCTTCTTTGCCCATCCGGATTCTATCGAGATCCTACGGGCTAATCACGACATTATCCTATTGGATTGCACCTACAAAACCAATAGATTCGGTATGCCCTTCCTGCATATTACCGGCGTCACGTGTACTAGCAACAACTTCGAAATTGCCTATTGTTTCCTGCCAAAAGAGAAGGAGGCGAACTACGACTGGGCAGTACTGCAGCTCTTCGAGCTCTTTAAGCGCTATTTTCTTGTTCCACGCGTTTTCTTAACGGATAAAGAACAAGCTCTAAGGAACGCACTACGTTAACGATGGCCTACGGTCGCGCGCCTCCTCTATATATAGCATATTAAAAAGAATATTGTCACCAAACTGGCTAAGGTGTATAAGGAGGAACCTACGTACGCCGCAGGCAGCGCGCCACCTGCGCCTACATTAGATAAAGAGAAGGAAGCTATTTAGAAGAAGGAACAGGAGAAAAGGGGGCAGTTCCTTACCCGTTGGACCGCCACGATAAAGCTGGAAGTTATGGCTTAATTTAATAAGGCTTGGAAGAAGCTACTTAACGACTATAAGGAGCGCCCTAACCTGGTGACGTATATAGAGAATAAGTGGTGGCTATACAGGTGGAATTGGGCCACCTGCTACACCTGTAAGGTGCGGCACTTTAGTACTACGTAAGTGATTTTTCTCAACACCAAGACGTCTGAATTTAATGCCTAAACTTTGCACGGGGTCTACGTACATGCTGAATAGGCAGCGCTGAAAAGGACAAGAGCATAGCTTAAAGAATAACTGAGAAACAAGGAAGTGGCAGAGATATATAATACTGATTCGATTTCTCACAGAGTTACATCGCGAAACGAGGGCTCGCACGGCCTACTTAAGGGCTTCCTTCAGGTGTCAACTGGCCATCTATTCAACGTTCTCCTTAATATACAGAACCTTATCCTTAACTCCAGGTCTAAGTTCGAAGATAAAATGGCTAGATATCACGCCTATACTCCGCATGATGTTAAAGAACCCGAATTCCGTAACCTATATTAAAAGGTGACGCCGCAGGCGCTTGTTCTCCTTAAGAAGCAGCTCCAAAAGGCCAAATTAAATAAATACAACCCACTTAATTGTACTTAAACGTTTAAGTCTATCTATAGCATTCCGTGTGCGCACAAACTGTATAATCCTCTACACCGAGCGCTTGCAAATCGGCTAGATCCGGTGCTCTATATACAACCGGAAGAGATAGATTACTATTAGTGGTTTGTTCGGCCAGGAGGACATCAGCTAGCTATTCCTTTTGGGCCTTTTAAGGATGTAGAGGATCCTGCTGTTGTTAAGCACCGGCGCGGCCGGCCTACTATTGCGAGGAGAGGCCATTATACGTACAACAATACGCAGCAAGAGCTATTAAGATTTAAGATTGCTACAGGCACGGGTGCGGCAGCTAGACCTATAGGTATACCTACAGGACGCACGCCGACAGTTCCACCGCCAGGACCGCCTATTTTCGTAGCCCCCCGTCCAGCTCCTGTCGCTTAGAGTGCTCCTCAGTCGGCCGCTACACCAGCTATCACGGAATTCGACGATTTGCTCACTAATCCGCCCGAGTTTGAGCATGCAGTAATACCTAGGCCCCCCCCTACTGCCGCACCTACGCCCGCACCTACTACTGCATCTACTGCTGCACCTAAGAAGCGTGGCCGGCCGCCTGGTGCAAAGAATAAGGCACCTAGAAAGAAGGCAGCACCACGGAAAGGGGCTGCGCAGCGTTATAATAGCGCTCATCCTGAGCCTCAGCCAGCTCCTCAGCCTCAGCTAGCTCCTCAGCCTTAGGCAGCGCCAGCGCTGCTTCCTTATAAGGAGCTCCAACATTAGATAGCATTGTACAAGCAGTATATGGAGGGGTTAATGGATCAGGATAGCCAGGAAGGCGCGGCGGCGATGTAGGGGGGCCAGGTTTGATGCAGAGAGGCCGTAATAAGGTAAGGATTTGACTGTTTTGGCATGCTCATAGGCACGTAGGCACGTAGGTAGCAATACAACGGCCTATATACACTGTAGGAAACGGGAAGTATGCATAGTAAAACGGGTATGCTGCACAGCCTTGCCATAAGTAGCCTCACGTACGGCCTCACGTACGGCCTCACGTACGGCCTCACGTACGGCCTCACGTACGGCCTCACGTACGGCCTCACGTACGGCCTCACGTACGGCCTCACGTGAGGCCTTACGTGTAGCTGGCCTATATATATAGCCTCACGGAAACGGTAAGAATGCACAATGAAATAGTGAGGCTGTACAGCCTTCCCATTTCATATAGATGCGCGTGAGAATTAAGCGCCGGAGCTTCCTCCGAGCCCTCCGGACCAATCAGAAGATCAGACGTAAGAAGGGTGTATACGGAGTAGAAAAGGGGTGTACACCGAGTAAATATAGGGTGTACATTTAGCAGCGCCCTTTCTAAAGCATTTAATAACTATTAGATCTATAGGAAGTATATTATAACGGGTTATTTCTTCTATACTTTCTAAGTGCTTATATAAGGCAAGGTATAGGTTAAGTTGTTATTAGGATGCAATAGTTTTTAAAAGGTAAGGCAAATCAATCTTAGGCATAAGACGGGGTTACTTCTAATAGGCAGTATTAAAGTTTTAAGTTAAATATAAGGTTTTTATCTATATAAATAAGTGTCCTTATATATAGAAGTCCACTCCTATAAAATCTATACGCTTGTTATACTCGTGGGGCTTGCAGCCCTCGAGCGTCTCGAGCGCGTCGAGCGCTCTTACGGCTCTATGCTTACTTCCTCCTAGAGCCTAACAAGCTATTATATAACCTCCGTCTTATAATATTCCTATTCTTAGATTATTCCTATCCACCAGCAGTCTATAGAGGAGTCTAAGATCCCTATATAACTAACTCTCTAACCCTGTAGTCCTATAGTCTAGTTATATATTATTAGTCTAATTTGCTTACCTATTTCCTTAAGTGCCTTAGCATTTAAGTAGTTTATATTACGGGTTGTAATACTTGCTTCCCCTTCTAAGGCTTTCGGCCTAAAAGTACCTCTATAGTGGGGTCTTAGATAAATAGCTAGCCTTGTAGGGTTCTAGATGTCCCGTAGATTGCGGACGTTGCGATGAGCTAAGGCTATATTAGAGCCATAACCGTACCACTGCTCCCAAACTGAGCCGCAATGAGGAACTACTCACTTGAACCAGCACTCCAAGTCCTATCAAGACATAGGTCTTGCGTAGCGCAGTAAGCGTCTGCCATCTCGACACAAGCCCCCTCCAGCCGGGCGGGTGTCGCCGATTCCTCAAAGCTAACGTCCCCTGCTCGCCTTCCAGCATCAGTTGTTGCTAATTACTAACATTCTCCAGCTGCGCAATGTTGGCTTGGAAAAGAGCGATGCCAAACGGCAAATAGACGCTCATGATCCAGAATTCGGCGCTGCACGGAAAATGTCCGTTCGATGTGTAGGCAAGCAAGATCTTGATCAGATACACGTGGAGAAAGGCAACGGCGGCGACGGCGAGCGGGATGTTGCGCATCCTCAGAAACGAGACGTTGCGATTGATGAGGAGCCATATTGACCCAGCGCTCAGGATGATGGTCCAGGCGATTGTGATTCCGGCGTATAGCTTTCCTAGATGGTCCCAGTTTACGAGGCTGCTCCAGTCGCGCCCTTTAGGGTTCACATGGAACGTCATGATTGTGATGTGGAGAACTAGAATAGAAATAGACGGATTACTTGAGCGATTGCAAAGACATGAGAACGAAGGATACGGTACTGCGCAAGCCAGCGGCAGTATAGAGAAATGAAGCTGAAGAAAGACAGGCAATGCAAACGGCCTTATCATTGACCTCAGCCCGCAGTGAGTGCGGGTTTGGATGCGGTGTTGACATCAGATCTGCAGCCACAGGGTTTCCAGGCAGCCTACATGCGAATAGCACGCTGTCGTACTCTAAAGCGTCAGTACCGATGCTACGCGTCGTCTCTCAACCACGGGTCCCCCTCCGAGCACGCTTGGCCTGACGTCGGAGGCAGTCGATGCGCAGGGTTGAGAGGAGGCTAGAGATGCGGCGGAGATCATCCCGTTGATTGCTTCTCGAGTAACCGAGCGTCGGCTAGGCGAGAACGGCAAATATGTCGAGCCTGGCGCTCGCTGATTGGGCACGCCACAGCACACCTTATGTGTCCTCCTACTCCTATGAGTGGCTGGCTGGCGGGACGGGAAGCTCCAGGTCCCAATGCCGGGAAGATCGTCATCGGCTGAAGCTGAGATCGCTGCGGCGTATTGGCCTGGTAACAAAACCCTGCTAGAGGGGCGGCGAAGTATTTTTAGCAAGCTTCCCCACAATTTGTGAAGCCCATCATCATCATCGCAGTCCTGCAAGGGATTCCTGGTTCAGACGATTCCTTCTAAACAGCTACTGCTACGGAGTGTCCTGAAGGGCTTAACAGGACAGTGACGGCGAAGTTGCTGCTCGTCACGCTTGGAGGGCCGTGGCGCCACCTCCCTTCTCACATTACCAGCCTCCTAGCCCGATACGAGCCTTGAAACACTTCGCATACGAAGTCAGAAAAGTCGCTCTCCTTGCACGTGATGGCTACCAAATGCAGATACCGAGAACATCGTTCTGTAACGGCACGGAGACACGTTGCGAGTCTAGTGGATCGTCCAGTATGTAACTGCAAGGGCGCACCACTTTGAGGGGCCGGGTATGCGGCTGGGGCTGACTGTCGCAATCCCATTTCACATGATGCCGGAGCCGCCCATGTCACGTTAGGTCGTAGTGGCATCGTGTGGCATGGACATGACAATCTGTTTGAACCTACGCTCAGGAGGGCAAAGTAGGAAGTCAAACAGTGGCATATAGTTGCCTTCACTTGAAGTAAATCAGCGGAAGTGACCTCTCTACTTATAGTCGTACTATCTCTATTCAACCCCTTCCTCAAGAGATGATAGCATCTCCAGCGTCTTATTACGGAACAAACTCCGTCCAACTGAAACAAGTCTGAGTCCTATTACCTATACAGGGAAGTCTTGGCACTCTGATACAAAAGTGTAGAGAACCGCTACTAAAATCGTCATCCTAAACAGGGGATGACACCTGTCAACCATTCCCCAGTGCAGCAAGTCTTGGCACCATTCAGACAAAAGTGTAGAGCATCGTCGATTCTCCCCGTTCCCCTGTCACCTCCTCGTCCAGGCAAGTCTTGGCTTTTGGTAGGAAAAGTGTAGAAGGCAGGCACTGGAAAACGGTCAGCTGACCAACCTCGCCATTAAGCCCATTCCGGAAAGCCCAGCAAAACCTCAAGAGTAAAACTGCCGAACTTCACAAGGTGACCCATTCCCTCCAAGAGCAGCTCAGTGCTTTCTCACCGTCACTCCCATTAATGATCATGGGCGTCAGTAGCGGTCAGTGGAAGCGCGACGGAATTAGGGACAACGCTCCTACAAGCAAGCAACGACCGCCGAACAGCTAAACAAGGAAGCCAGATACCAACTAGTGATTAACGTAGCCGGGTCGACGAAGAGGCGGCAAATAAGGTTTTGGCTACTGAGGTCGTGAAGAGCACAATTACTCCGGGTACAAGGGATATCGAAGGGCTCGCCGGGGCCATAGTCAGGGACTTCCGCATGTGGAATTTGTGCATTCTCTTCGAACTATGTGGAGAGATTCCTTGGACTCGGAAACGCTCCTAATTACCGCTAACATATTTTCACGTTACCATATATGAAGTTCTCCATCGCCTGTCTATCCAATCTTTCAACTTCTCCCGATCTGCTGCGAGGCCCAATAAAGCAAAGATTTTATCTCGTGAATTAGCTGACTCTGGGTGGTGGGGGGCGTGGCGATGAAGATTCACGCTGCCAACGCATCTTGCGCCGAGTAGAGCTGCCAGTGGGAATCTGGCATATCTAGAGACCTTCCAGGAAGATAGCATGATATAAGGCCTGTGATGAATTAGGACCGGATGAGTCCATAGTGATATGGCGTCAATCTTAACTTTCGGTGAATTTCGCTATGAGGGCGCCCCGCAAAGCGCAGTATGCATTAAGAGCAGTGCTTACATCAACGGCGCATGATAGCCTTGGTTCCACAAATAAGTCCTGCCAGGAAGAGTAGTTTCCTGCAGAACCCGTATTCGTCCCTGCCACGGTTGGGTAAAAAGATCGTTCAAGCCAGCTATTAGCAGCAGATTATCCTGATCATGCCAGCCACTAATAGAATAAAAGAGACTTTAGAGTGCATCTTGGGAAGACGTCATTGTCCTAGTGGCCGGTCTCATCGTGGCCTTTAATCAACTGAGGGGGATTAGCCTCCCAGTGACCGCACTCGACGATGTGAACGTTGCATGTGGTTTCAGCAGTGTACATTGCTGAGGCAAATATCATCAAGCAATACATGGACACTGTTGTGGTTCCACTCACTATAACATCGCAAAAACCGTCATCTTTAGGTAAACAAAGTGAATAAAGACAAACCACAAGGATTGCCTGAACGCCTTCTCCTTATCAACTGTTAGTTTGTGGATCGAGATAAAAGCATGGCCAGATGAACATGAGAGGTTGATAATGATGTAGGCTGATAGACCTTACATCTCCCTTCGTCTGAACTGCACAATCGGCCCATCCTTCAAACAGAGAAATGCATCCTTGACGACCATTTGCTTCGGCTCCTTTTGATCTTGACCACACTCCTTACTTCCCTCCCCTACTTTGACCTTCTCCCCATCCGCAATTCGGACATCCAAACGCCAAAGCGTCCGCGCAAAAGTTAGTAGCAGTTCCAGCATAGCTACTTTCTGGCCCGCACAATTGCCTGGTCCGATCGAGAAAGGGTGGAACCCCTTTCGAAGGTTCAAGATATCAGTTTCGGTGTTGATCTCGTCCGGGATCCAGCGTTCTGGGCGGAACGTGTTCGCATCTCCGTATACCGACTCGTTGTGGCCGAGTGACCAGTTTGCACATCCAACAACTATGCCTGCGGGATAGAACATGCCGTCAATGGTTGCACCGCCGGAAAGAACCTCGCGCGGCAATTCGCTGGGAGCGGGATGGCTGAGGCGCAGAGTCTCGTCAATGCACGCGCGCAGGTACTTAGCCTGCGACAACCTTGGGCCGAGCGTAATGTCATCGAGCGAAGAGAACTCTGAGCGGATTTCTGAGACTAGTTTGGCTAGTTTGGCAGGGTTATGCACTAGATAGAAGAAGAGGGCGCAGATTGTTGTGGCTGAGGTGTCGGTACCAGCAAGGACCAGCAGGCGGGCTTCAGAGAGGAGGTGGTCGCGACTGAAGGCAGGAAGGTTGGTTTCTGGGTCCTTTGCGGTGATGAGAAAGTGGAACATGTCTTCGCGGACGGAAGAGGAGCTGGGGGATGAGGAGGAAGATTTGTAAGACTCGATGCGTTGGTCAACGCTGTTTTCAATAAAGGCCGAGTAGTCCTTGATGTCCTTATGCCTGACTCGATCCATGACGGCGTTTAGGCTGCGGGGTTTGAGCCACAGGATCAGACGTAGCAGGGGGAACTTGGACAACTAGTCGTCGATCAGCGTCCTGAAGTTCTCTACAATGCCAAAGCTTGGGGTGGATGCATACCTTGTAACCCACAGCCACGTGCTTCATGATCAGATGCGGCAGGCTCTTCAGTTTGTTCTCGCCCGGCTCCTTGGTTTTGAAGTCTTGCCCGAAGCATAGATCCCCGAGGAGATCGAAGACCAGGTAGTCAATCCACGTCGCCATGTTTCGTGGCGAGGACCACAGCCTCTTGCCACCAAGCGCAGCATTCTTTACCTCATCCTGCTCGGTCCCAGCATCGACTTCGCCCACGAGCAACTCCGCCCAGCGATCGATATGCCGCACCAGGAACGGGCTCGCGGCCTTGAGCGACTGCTCGGTAAAGGCCAGGTTGAGCAGCCGCCTCTTCTTCGCGTGCAGTACGGGATCGGTTGCAGTGATTGTGTTGACATCGTGCTCGCTGCGCTGCCACATTTTGTAGAAGGCGGAGCGCGTGGTATTTGCGCGGGGGCCGTATATGTCGGCATAAGCACGAGTGGTGTTGAAGAGAATGAGGTCGGGGGCAGCGCGAATCTTGTCGCCGTGGATCTGGAACTGCTTCCATATCCACAAGTGGCGGTCACCTTTGCAGGCGTGGTAGAAGGAGGGGAGGCAGGAGATGCGGGCTAGAAGGGGGCCGGGCGTGGAGGCGAGCGGATGGAAAAAGAGATTGTATATGACGGTGGCGATGACCTAGGGAGCCGTCAGCGCCTTGAATCGTGCAGGCTAAGATGCGCGGTGGAGGACGGCGACGACGTACATAGCTGGCGACTATGGCCAGTACGAGCGGAAGGATCATGGCGGGGATGCTGTGCACTAAGCTGGTGGAGAAGCGAGAGTGGTCAGGTACTTGCTCGGCAAGCAGACGATGGCAGCTCCCTGGCCGCTGTTCACTGCTCGCTGGTGACTGTTCGCTGTTCACTGTTCGTTGACCCGCGGAGCGAGCAGCACAGCCGTGAGCCGGCCTTTGTGAAGGGTTGGCCTCACCGCACGGGGATGGACGCACGGGGACGCACGGGGACGCACGGGACCTGCCCTGCCGCTGCACGCCATCGCGCCCCTCCCGCTGTACGCCATCGCGCCCCTCCCGCTGCCGCACCGCAACCCCAGTCTGTCCATTCCAATCACAGCGCCCTGTAGCTTATGCTTCCACGCATGCGCTCGACATCTCTGCATCTCTGCCCCGCCCTCCGCCGCAGATCCCGCTGCACGCCATCGCGCCCCTCCCGCTGCACGCCATCGCGCCCCCCCCCGCTGCCGCACCGCAACCCCAGTCTGTCCATTCCAATCACAGCGCCCGGTGGCTTATGCTTCCACGCATGCGCTCGACGCTCACCATCTCTGCATCTCTGCCTCACCCTCCGCCATGGACGACTCTCTGGTCGCTCGCCTGAAAGCGCAGTCCGCCGCCATCGCCGATATCCAGCGTGTCGCTGGCACGCCAGGCCTTTCGCTGGGTGTCTTCCACCATGGGCGCATCCTTCATACCGCGCATTTTGGCCGCCGCGACGTTGGCAGCCTCGAGCCCGTCAACGATGACTCGGTCTATTTTGTCGCATCCGCCTTCAAAATCGTAACCGTCTCTGCCATCGCCAGGCTTGTCACAGATGGTCTCTTGGGCTGGGACGTTCCCGTCCGCGACTATCTTCCTGCCTTCCAACAGCGCCACGACGAAGTCGGCCTCAAGGCAACCATACGAGATCTGATCGCCAACCGCACGGGCTGGCCCATGGCGAGCTGCTATTGGGGCCAGCAAAATGGCGAGCAGCTGCTGGACAAGAGCGAGTTCGTGTCGATTGCAAACTCCCTGGAAGCCGTGAAGCCATTCCGTTCAACCTTCATCTACTCGCAGTGGAACTACTGTCTTATTCACATCATCGTCGAGAGTGTCACTGGAAAGTCCTTTGGACACTTCGTTCGCGAGGCTATATTCGAACCGCTGCACCTCACGAGCTCAACCTTTGACATTCCGACCACCACGAATCTCGCGAAACCGCACGCTACGCGGAATGACGGAAGCGCCTGCAGCATCACAACCAACAACTTCGACTCTTCTACTGGATTGGCTGCTGGTGGGGGTGGGAAATCAACCATCAAAGAAATGCTCACAATCTACATGGCCTTGCTCGCTGCCTACCGGCATCAAGTTGACAACAACGTCGACACAACCCCCAACTCGCCCTTCACTCAACTCCGTACCATCTTCACTCCGCATATCCACGTCACTAGATCTCAGCTCGATAAGCAAGCTTACTGCCTCGGTCTGTACCGCACCCAACTCCCTGGGAACCTCAGCTGCGCAAGCATCAACTCCCTCATGCTACGCAACAAAATTCCAATATTCGGCGACGCTTCAGGGACGGACATCTTCCACCACAGTTCGACTACCCCAGGATATTTTGGTGCCATGTACATGGTACCCAGCACGCAGAGCGGCGTAGTTGTCCTCACCAACGCAACGCCACTAATGGACGCTGCCGATTTCAGCGCCCAACTCCTTCTCTCTGTCCTCTTGGGAGTCAAAGCACCTGCACACCTCCTCAGTCTTGCCAAAACGGCAGCCAAGACTCAGATAGGCTGGTACGACCAACTATCCTCGTTTCTCGCAAGCGGCAAGACTGACACGCCCCCCACACACCCCCTATCTGCATATTCCGGCACCTATATTAACGCTGCGCACAACTTCAGAATTCTCGTCACGCCACGGGCTGATGGCTTGCACGTCTCAATGCAAGGGAAGCCTCTGACGACATATGTACTCAAGCCGTGGGATGGTGATTCGTTCTCCTGGGAAGTCGATAGGGAGCGAGAGCTAATCGATCGGGGAATGTTCCTTACGCCGTTTCCTCAGATACATTTGATGCACTTTGGGGTCACGGAGAAGGCTGTACAGAGCTTGACGTGGCAGCACGACCCGCTTGCGGAGCCAGAGCTTTTTCAAAGGGATGACGGCGAGGCGCTAGCGAGGCTGTAGTTGCAATGGTGAGACATACAAATGGGAGAAAACACGGTAGTCGAGAATGACCCCAAGGAATTTGTACCGCCTGCCGGCTATGGTGCGAGCTGCGCCCTTTTACTTTCGGAGTCCGACACTTCCAAAGTCAAAGGCGCAATGTTGTACCGTAAGCATGCCGTCGTTCCACAAAAGGTATTGGGGTGAGACCTAATTCTGGTGTCAAGCTACACCCAACGGCTCCTGAAACGGGGCACTGCTTGGTTGGTAGCTAGGGTGGAGACGTTGTCTCCCGATATATATTGCGTTACATGCTCTCATCAGCTAAGCTGTGAACCGGTACTCGGGGTGTCGCGTACATGCAATGTGATCGTGACCTCGACCTACACTCCTCCTCCTTGCATCAGCCTACCTTTTGACGGTACCTTCCAAACGTGAAACTCGAGGGGATGCTCTTTACCCCCCCTCCCGCACTCCAGCCGGACTCCGTAGGCTATATGAAGCGTGCATGTACAACTTGTACGTGACTTCACAGTTCGCAACAGAATTTGTAGAGGAACGCTCAGGCCCCGTCCGAGCCGTAGCAAGGCGAGCCACTTGAAAACCTATAATCGGGCCAAGGTCGCGATTGGGCTCATCTCGCACGTCGTTCCATAGCATCCATTTTCTCAGCCCATAGCAACGGCTCCACACCTACGCCATGTCTCCACTCCAGCTGGATCCAGCAGCTCTGGCCAAGCTGCCGCCAGGAGATCTCAGTGAGAATATTGGACATCGTGTCATGAATCTCGCTATCGCATTTCTCGTCCTGCAGTCTGTTTTTGTCGTGCTGTTCTACATTTCGCGATACCTCAACAAGATGCTCAATGGATGGGAGTGTTGGCTCTTCATGCCATTGGCATACATATTCTGCACGGCTTTGTGTATATGTGGAGTCCGTAAGTTCCTCTATCCTCATCTCCTATATTACATCCATTTGTTCTCACAAACACAAAGTAGCCGTGAAGATCGGCGGAGAAGGCCGACATATCGCAGCTGTTCTGTTAGAAGACCCGAATATCGTCACAAACCGGATCAAGATCGACAAGGCGGTAGAGTACATCGACCTTGCGGCTATTACCAGTGCCAAACTCGCCATTCTATGTCTGTACATCCGGATCTTATCCTTATGGCGCAGCTATCGGATCGCGATATACCTCACTGGCACGATCATTGTCTTGACCTGGATTGCGGCAATATTGCTTAGCACAACAATTTGCCACCCGTATTCATATCAGTGGGACCCTACGATCGAGGGCGGTCATTGCGGAGACATGATAAGAGCATACCAGTTCATCTGTGTTCCGAACATCCTCACAGATTTCATAATGCTACTTATACCTCTTCCTGCAGTCTACAAATTGCATGTCCAGTTGCCTGCCAAGATTGGTATTTTCGCTACGTTCCTGACCGGATCTGTGTACGTTCTATGTCCCTGTTTACGTCTAATCACGCTGACACCGTAATCTAGTGGAATTGTCACCTCGGTCCTCCGAATGCTATCCTTCCTCAACGACGCCCAGCTGCTTAACGACTTAACCTACAACTCCATTCCCACTTTCATCTTTACCATCATAGAAGCTGGTGTCTACTTGATAGCGGCCTGCATGCTCAGCCTTCGTCCTCTCAAACGCCACATTTTCAAGGACAAAAGCTTCACCAAATGGGTTGGGTCTTATCTGGATAGATTCTCCAGAGGTAGCTCGCAAGGCTCGATCTCGTTTGGCGGGCTCAAATAGGGTAGGGTGCCGAGAAGCACCTCGAATCAAATGGACTCGCGAGAACGGAATGCACAGAGTCTGGAGCCGAAGACCATTGCTACGACACATTTGAAAGAAGATGGTTCTCCCAGGTCGGAAGATCGGCACGGGTTGGTGTCTTCGACATGGGAAGGCCGTGAGACTGTGTGATAGTTAGGTTACATATCTCAAGGGTTTTGGAAAGGGTCTATGAGATCATATGCATTGGCTTGTTCATCGAGCTACAAGTGTTCACAGCGATAAAGATATCATTCTACATCCACAGCTGTGTAGAAGTCAACGTTATCAGACTTCAAGGTATCGAAAGCGTGGGTCCGTACCTTCGCGTGACTGCAACCAAAACACAATGGTAATACAGTGGGGCATAGAATGCAACATATGCGTTACACAGGCTGCGCCCCGTCAACCCAGAGAAGTACATAGGTTTATGAGAACTGCTGATCTGTGCATCGAAGACTCTTATAGCTGGCGTACAGCTGTGAATTGGGAGGAAGACATGATTGACTGTTATGCGCAGAGGGGCTACCTATATACGAGATAATGATGAGCTGTAGATAAGAGGAGAACATGACTTGGTGTAGCTGTAGGCGTGCGCTACAAAGGTAACAGCGTCACGGATAAAGGGCGCTAATGGTTAGAGTAATGTAGAGGCGGGCGCTAGCTGTTCGATCCTTAGGGGCTAGACTCGCGTTCTCGTAGGTTGCTATCGCAGCCACCAGGATGTTGGAATTGTATCCTCGCTCTCGCACAAGCGCTTATGGCTTACCGGCGACCTACCGCAGTGTAACAGACAACTGAAATCAATGCCAATCTTAGCTGCCCAGTCCACTCAGAATAAAGTCGGCACCAAATGAATCCATTATTGTAGCCTGATATATTTGCCGGCTGACCATTGCAAACCTTCAACTTTCGTGGTCCACTTACGAAGCCCTGGGTGACTGCCCATCTCCCTTGCCACTCAGTCTAGCTCTCACCAAAAAAAAGATATTGAGGATGCGTTTTCTATGTCTTCATGGGATGGGAACGGGTAGCAAGGTATGACTGTACCTCCATGATGCACAGGCTAGAATCACATATCCTCATTCTTTCCCTGGTTCCCTCAACGAAGAAGTTCAGTTTATACTGTGACAGGCTAACGATTTTCTAGATTTTCCAGATGCAAACAGGTAAGATTGAGTCCTAGAACGGCATTTTTTAGTTTTTCCAAGGCACGGATAATGATGTACGGAATAGCTGCTATACGGCATGAGCTAGGGGACGATCATACGTATGAGTTCGTGCAGGGGACGCAAGAATGGCCTATGGCTCCAGGTAGGATATATGCTTCTTGCCCCCTGTCATCCTTGCTCTACTTTCCCGTCTCCATGGTCTCCTACCGTCGTGGATGCTTGAAAAGACCCCTAGCTTGCTGACGAGACTTCCAAGAAATTGCAAAAGTATCTAATGCCAACGTTCCGCATTACGCGTACTATGACTACTCCGTCGGCGCCTTTATTGATGCTCTGGATGCGCTCGAAAAATACATCAAAGTCGAAGGTCCTTTTGATGGTGTCCTTGGCTTCAGTCAAGGCGCAGGTCTTGCAGTCATGTACCTCGTGCGACATGCGCACCTGTATCCAACTGCTCCCTTGCCATTCAAATGCGCCATTGTTATCAGCAGTATAGGTGTTTATGATCCATTCATCTGGTTCTCCACTGGCCACTCTGTGGAGTTGGATCACATGCCACCTGGTGTGAGGAAAATAGGAATTCCGGTGGCATTGATATGGGGCGAAAAAGATGGGGCGGAGTCGAAGAGGGAAGGAGAGGCCATGCGAAATCTGTTTGAGGACGAAGGTGTGTGGACGTTCGTTCATGGGGGTGGACATGATGTTCCGGGGCCGAACATAAAGGATTCGGTGAAGGGGTCTGTGAGGGCAATTCGGAGGGCTGTAACGCAAGCCCGACTCTCTTCATCATGAGTTTCGCTGCGCAATAGTATTAAAGGAGAATGGTTTCGTAAACTAGTAGTGCCATGCTCCAGCTAGGAACGCTCAAGCCAAGTATCGGAACAAAGACTAGAGCCCCCACAATCATGAATGTTGCACTGGATTGACAACTTGACCCGTCCACATCAGCGCTGTCGTTGGTATCTGCGCTGCCGCAAACCCAATCACGAACTTGATCTGCAGATTGTAGCTCTCCCCAAAGATAGCTCGGACATTATCAAGTGTGGCGCCTGAGAGCATGTGCAATGCCTCTGTCTTTTCCATCACCGCGAGCACCAGATCCAAAGGGAGCACATCGATGAGATGGTGTCGGAGATAGGGTGTAGAGAGGGATGATGCGACAGATATTCCAATCAAGCCGCCGAGGACGCGGAATTGAGAGACTGATGCTGTTCCCACCGCTTTCCTGCATCAGCAAACGCTCCAGAGAAAATGCCAATGGCCGTAAACTTACCGAGATCACGTTTCTCCATCGCATACGGTACCAGCAGGATCAACCCTGCAGCTAGAAACCCTACGCCCAAGCCTATAAGCACTTGGAATGCATATTGTGGCGAATGGATATGTGGATCTGTCGGTATGCGAGAGAGGAACACGGCGCCGATGAGCTGCAATACTGCACCGACGAGGATTATGATGCAGGGTGGAACCTTTGGCTTGCCCATCAGCACAGCTGCGAGGCTTGACCCACCGGGGACAAAAGCTCCAAAAGGAAGCATGCGAACGGCTGCATCCAAGGATGAGAGGCCGTTAACAGTCATGAAGCGTTGTGGGATTTGGACGAGGCAGACCATCAGAACTGTTCCCGTAAGGTATGAATTTCTTAGTCCATAAATTAGCCCAAGTGTCCGTAAAAGCTGGAGAGGTGTGATATTACATACAGGAGCATTCCGAGACAGATACGAGACTGGCAAAATCGCCAGGGAAGAAGGGGCTCCGGGTATTTGAAGCGCGTGGTGACGAGCCATTGCCAGGTGAAGAATGCGATGATGAAGGGAATAACAAGAAGAAACAGAGGGAGGACGAATGAGGACGTCCAGGCGTAACCGAGGGCGGCTTGTTGGAAACCCGTAGATGCAAGAATACATATTCCAAGGAGAAATATGGAGCCAAGTACATCGAGGCGCCGAAGGTGGCTGGTCATGGACAATCCGCCACGGTCTGTTACTGCAGGTTCATTCCAAAGCTTGGAGGGAAACATAACGAGCAGAGCTATGATAGCCACTGCGCAGACTGGTACACTAGATAGAAAGTCAGCTGGCCATAGCATGATAGCCCTCGAGGACACATACTTTAGCAAAAAGATCCACCTCCATTTAGTTCCAGTCGAGAGAGCACCTCCGATCAGCGGACCTGCAACTAGAGCCAATGCGACGACTCCAGTGACCAGGCTCACAAATATGGGCCACTTCCTTGGTGGTACCAACTCGAAGAAGACAAGCTGTGTCAGAGCGAAGATGCCGCATCCTCCTATGCCTTGGACCCAGCGAAACATGATGAGTTGGGTCAGAGTCTGGCTTGCGCCGCAAGCTCCAGAGAAGACTGTGAAGATGAAGAGAGAGGCTACGATGATCGCTTTTCGTGTGAGGATGTCGGAGAGCTTTGCCCAGATCAACTGGAATCCTGGGATGAAGTTAGACGCCTACTTGCGCATCGTCACAGGTTCTCTTACCGCAGAATGTTAGCAGGTATGCGGTGAAGACCCATGAGCTCCTATTGTATCCACCAAGCTGATCCGTGATGGTGAGGATGGCAGTGCTCGTGACTGATGTGTCCATCTGGGCAACAAAGAGAGCTAGAAGAAGCCAAAAGCTAATTCCATAGAGGTGCCATCCAGTGACATAAGAGGACTCGTCCGTAGGCTCATGGTCGGGCCCTTCCGACTCGACTTCGCCTACTCTGATTGGCTGATTCGCTGGGGCCGAGTGCGTCGCCATGTTCTGACTTTCAAGACAGACAGGTAGAGGGCAGACGACTGGAGTTCGTCGGTCGTGCGAGGTGGCAGAGATGCGAAGATGCGAAGACGCGGAAAGTTTGCGGAAGATGCTGCTTGAGTTACTTCCAAACCCTGTGCCACGTGTGACGTTGGATGAGGGGTGAAGGCAACCAGAAAATATAACAGCGTCACACCGATCTCAACCCGCGGTTTGGGTAGCGTTTCTCCGTCGCATTCCCACCGACGCCGGGGTGTGACTGTTTTACATGCCACCGCGGAGACCGGTCAACGCACCTGACCGTAGATGCGCGACGTCGGGCGGCGTGCACAGCGTTATAGCCTATCTAAGGCGTGTGCGCGTGTGCCTTAGCGAAGCGGCCCGTTCCATATTTGGGGTCAAACCCTGCACTGAGCAATGCTGAAAACGCCTCTCCCGGTCCGCCTTGCGCCATAGGACTATTCTATACCAGCCTCGTTTCCAATTCACACTACAGCCCAACAAACGACCATGCCAGAGAGAAACAAAGAAAACAGCTCTCCAGTACACAGCCCTATATCGCAGGTTGGGAGCCAAGGAGAATGGAGCCGTGCCATATGGTCATCAGCAAGAGAAACGTCGCATGTGCCCGGCGTGGGAGACAGAATTCTGACAGCATCCGGTGTCGTTGAACCCTCCTCCGATGGACCATGTAATTGTATGGCCTTGCTGATTGGCAATAAATAAAGTCCAACCCCGCTGACAGACTCATCCCAGGTCAGGACCGTCTGGAAGAGAATCTGCCACGTGGGAGCGCCCCGAATGGGAGCCTTTCTAACCGCACCTCGTCAGCCAATCGAGTTCAGCACGACTCACCAGAAACCATTCATCCATCCCATGGCACAGCGAGGGGGAGCAATACCATCGCCATGTCAGTTGGCACCCATTCAACTGACGCGTCAAATGGAACCCCAGCTCCCAACAGCACGCATAACCAGCCGTTAGATCACCTCAGAAGCGCCATTGACCAGCGCCCCTCAATTCCTGCTGCCACCCCTCCAGAGCCTATCGCCATTATCGGCATGGCCTTCCAGTTTCCTTCGGGTGCCGTGACTGAAGATGCGTTCTGGGAGATGCTGACCTCTAAGCACTGCGCCTCGACCGATTTCCCAGCCGACAGAATGAACATTGATGCTTTCTATAGTCCAGACCCTAAGAAGCCCAATTCTGTAAGCCTTTTGAGCCCCTAAATCCGTCCCCCAAACCCCGTCTAACACATTCGATCAAATCAGGTTCACACAAAGAAAGCCCACTTCCTTCGCGACGACATCCGCAACTTTGATGCCGCCCACTTCAACATTACTCCCGCCGAAGCCGGCGCCATGGACCCCAACCAGCGTGGGCTGATGGAAACAACCTACCACGCCCTCGAATCCGCCGGTATTCCAGCCTCCTCCATCGCTGGCACAAACACCTCCGTGCACGCTGGCTTTTTCTCCACAGATTTTATGACCTTCAACCTACGTGACCCACTCCGCATCCCCAAGTACTACGCGACGGGCGCTAGCTCCTCAATTCTGTCTAACCGCATAAGCTGGTTCTTCAATCTGCGCGGGCCGAGCATGACAATTGACACGGCCTGCTCGTCGGGCTTGGTGGCGCTGCATCTGGCGTGCCAGGGCTTGTGGGTGGGCACCAGCGACATGGCCATTGTCGCAGCTGCCAATTTAATCCTCTCACCAGAGCTCAACATCGCACTCAGCAACATGAACTTCCTTTCTCGCGACGGAAAATGCTATTCTTTTGACCACCGCGCCTCGGGCTACGCGCGCGGCGAAGGTTTTGCTGTGCTGGTTTTGAAGCCCCTTTCCAAAGCGCTAGCGGCCGGAGATACAATTCGCGCCCTCGTAAGGAGTACGGCAAGTAATCAAGACGGGCATACGAGTGGTGGCATTACCCAACCAAGCAATGATATGCAGACCCAGCTCATCCGCTCCACATACACAAAAGCTAGTTTAGATATGCGGGAGACACGTTTTTTTGAGGCGCACGGCACCGGCACCGCAGTTGGAGATCCCATCGAAGCACGCGCGATAGGTGAGAGTTTTCGGGAGTATCGATCAGACGACCAGCCACTGTACGTTGGGGCGGTCAAATCCAATGTGGGGCATTTGGAGGGTGCGAGCGGCCTTGCGGGGGTGATAAAAGCGGTGCTCGCACTCGAGAAGGGAGTCATACCGCCGAACACCAACCTTGAAGAGCTGAACCCGGGCATCGACGACAAGTTCTTCCGCTTGAACTTTCCACGGGAGTGCGTGCAGTGGCCAGAAGGCGGAATCAGAAGAGCGTCTGTTAACTCGTTCGGATATGGAGGAGCCAACGCTCATGCTATCCTCGACGATGCCTACTCTTACCTTCGCTCAAAACAACTGAATGGAAACCATTCTACTTTGCCAATACAGCCGGGCATCAACGGTTGTGTGAGCGACCACCATACGAACGAGGAGTTTGGGAATGGCGTAGGCTACCACAATTATCATCGAGATGAGCCACTTCCAGCATCCGTTGAACCAGATTTCACCCCAAAGCTCCTCATTTTCTCTTCTTCGGACGAGTCCGGAATTACTCGTCAAATCACTGCCCACAGCTCCTATCTTCGACAACTCAATCCTTCAACACTCTCCACCCTGCTCCCACATTACTCCCACACCCTCCACACCCATCGCACAATGCTCAACTTTCGATCGTACGGCATTCTCACATCCCAAAATGAACTCCTCTCCGTCCCAACTCTGATGTCCAGACCACTTCAGGCCCAAGGCACCGATCCTCGTCTTGGCATCGTCTTCACAGGCCAAGGCGCTCAGTGGCACGGCATGGGACGTGAACTTTTATCCGAGCCCAAATTTCTGACCAGTGTACAGCGATCGCAGACGTATCTTGAAGAGCTGGGATGTACGTGGTCACTGATCGAGCACCTCAGTAATGAGAGATATGCTGCATCTGTTGGCCAGGCGCAGTATAGCCAGGTACTGACAACATCTGTGCAACTAGCCCTGGTGGATCTAATAGTATGGCTCGAGATCAATTCTTCAGTCGTGGTAGGGCACTCATCCGGTGAGATAGCAGCGGCTTATGCCGCGGGACACATCTCCCAATCCTCCGCAATCCGGGTGTCGTACTACCGTGGTCTTCTAGCATCAAAATTGGAGAATGAGCAGACATTAAAGTACTCCATGGCTGCTATAGGTCTGTCGCGTGCAGATACCGAGTCTCACATCAAACTGCTAGGCGCAAAACCAGATTCTGGAGTGAAGGCTGAAACAATTACAATAAGCTGTATCAATAGCCCTTCTAACGTTACTGTATCCGGTCCTGATCATGTTGTCGACACTCTCGTTGAATATCTGGTGGGAAAGCAGGTCTTTGCGCGGAAACTGAAAGTAGGATTGGGATACCATTCCCCCCAGATGGCCCAAATCAGCAGCGAATATCTTCATATTCTCGACGACCTCGAACTGAAAAAAGGAGACTCGAAAATCCGACCTATGATGGTGTCTTCTGTTACAGGCCGGATTACCGACGCCTCAACCGTGTGCTCTGGAGAGTACTGGGTCCGCAACATGGTCTCTCCTGTCAACTTCTTCGGCGCACTGTGCTTCTGCGGTTCGATCTCCAAGTCAGTCCCTATCAATAAACGCTTAGACCTTAGCCACACTACCGAGCTGCGTATTGACGGCTGGCTGGAAATCGGGCCACATTCTGCGCTGCAAGGTCCCATCCGCGAAACCCTAAAATTCCTCTCCCGCGAAAATGAAGTCATCTATACCTCTGCGCTCGTCCGTCACAAATCTGCACTCTCAAGTGTTCTTTCCGCAGCCGGACACCTCCACTGTCTATCCTTCCCGGTGAATATGTCGCACGTAACTCTCCTTGGTCTCTCGTCTGCCCAGCGAAGATCTCTAAAAGTGTTGCCGAATCTCCCTCGGTACTCCTTCAACCACTCTAGCCTTCATTGGGAGGAGCCACAGTCCAACAAAACCTTCCGATTTCGGAAGCACGGTAACCACGACCTGCTCGGCGCCAAAATCAGCGAGCCCAACCCGGCGGAGTCGCAGTGGAGATTCATCATCAGGGAAGATGACATGCCATGGGTCCAGGACCACAAAGTCAATGGCGCCATTTTGTATCCTGCCGCGGGCATGATCGTCATGGCAATCGAAGCTGCTAAACAGCTGATGGAAGATCATACCCCTGTAGCTTTCGAGTTAGAGGACGTAGAAGTCCCCGCACCAATAATGATAACTTCAGCACCAGAAGGAGTTGAGACACGCATTAATATGAGTGCCAGTACGAAAGGTGCAAAGGGGGAAACGGATTACAAATTTCGCATTTTCCTCTGCAAAGCCGATGATAGCCCATTAGTAGTATGCTCCGGTACGATACGTGGAGACTACAAGCGCGGAATTTCAGATGTCGACCAAGGGATGGAGGCCAGAGAAAAGGCCGCACGTTTAAGATCCGAGTTTGAAGATACGGTCATAGGGTGCACGCAGACTGTGGGCCATGATGAGCTGTATCAAGTCATCCGCAATGAGACGGGCCTTGACTACGGTCCTGCATTCCAAGCGCTGGATAGTATTTGCTTTGACGGTTCTGGGCGAGCGGTTGCCACTGTTCTTCCTCAAGATATTGGGTCGACGTCCGCCTACACAGTACATCCCACCAGGCTCGACGGTATATTTCAACTCACGTTTGCGGCACTGGGTGCCATGAGGCAGGCGAAAACCATGGTACCGACTTTTTTGTCGAGGCTGTGGATTCCAGTTCTCGGATTTGGGCACCCTAGTCACGCCCCCGATAAGGCATACGCCAAGATCAAGAAAGTATCCCAGCGCACGGTCGTTGTCGACATCAAGACTGTTGGTGGCACTAACACGCTGCCAAAAGCCGAGATCGATGGCTTGGAGGTGACAGTCATGGCATCAAACATTGAAGTCGCCAAAACGCTCGCCGATGCAAAATACACCTGCTCACACATAGAGTGGAAAGTCGATCTGGATACTCTTGAGATGAGGGAGATACAGGAGTACTGCGAAGCGGCAAGATCCACAAAGCCTGAGCCTGTGGAATACTTCAACAACATGGATGTATTGGTGTTCCAGTACGGAATAAGAGCGCTTCAGGAAGTCAAAAGACAAGGAGGTTATGTTGCACCAAATATGGAACGATATGCTGCGTGGCTGCGTGAGCGGATCCACTTGACCTCTTCTCCGCCCGCAAAGAGCGATGCTGAGCTCGACCGACTCTGCGAATCCGTTGTCCATACTACCCGTGGTCAGCTTCACATCACCATAGGCCAACATCTCGCAGAATTTATTCGCGGTGACGCTGATCCGCAGCAAGTTATATTCGCTGACGAGGCAATGATCACAGAGTTCTACCGCGAATTGATGGAAGATACAACTGGCCTTGATCCTTTCAATCGATACTTGGATGCACTAGTGCACAAGACCCCGGGCTTGAAGTTTCTAGAAGTAGGCGCCGGAACAGCTTCGTCGACGACAGCGATTTTGAAAGTGATTGGAAATCCCGCCATTGGCCCACGATTTGAAGAGTACATGTTCACAGACATCACCCCATTCTTCATAGAACAAGCACGTGTGAAATTTGCCGAGCATGCTGGAATGAAGTATCAAGCCTTGAATATCGAGCAAGAATTGTCGGATCAAGGATTCGAGGCGAGCGCGTACGACGTTGTAGTTGCGGACAACGTAATACATGCGACGAGAAACCTACATGTCACACTCGGAAACATACGAAAGCTACTTCGTCCAGGTGGAAAGCTAATCTTGAAGGAACTAGTGACCCCAGAGCGCCTGCTTACTGGTTTCGCGTTTGGTCTTCTTCCGGGATGGTGGCTGGGCTGTGAAGCGGAGAGACAGAGAAGTCCTCTAGTTCCTGAGAGAAGATGGGATGAGATCTTAAAAAAGTGTGGCTTTTCAGGAACCGACCTGATTTTCCGAGATCATATGAGGCATGAGCCTCACATCTGGACTATCATGATATCAACTGCTACTGACGCCCCCGGCGCTTCAAGCGCTTTGAAAGTTAGGCCTGTCACTTCACCGGCTTTCATAATCGATCCAACTTCAAGTAGTCAGAAAGCAGTAGCAATCAGCATCGCCTACGAGCTTGGTCATCCAAACGACCCTAAGTTACTCACTCTTTCCGAAGCGGGTCTCCTTTGCGGTAAAGAACCCGAGCCGCAAAACTACATCTTCCTAAATGAAATGGATCGTCCAATATTACGAGACATCCAAGAATCGGACTTTTTCAGTATCCAAAAGATTCTCCAATCAGCGCGCAGCATTCTCTGGGTAAAGCAAGGCCGGGGGGGCAGTGCTCCATTATGCCCCGACTTTGCCATAAGTGACGGTCTGTGTCGCGTCTCACGGCGTGAGAATAACAACGTCATTGTTTCTCTAGCCTTGGAAGATACAAGCCTTGCGTCAGTTGCCCACATAGCCAAAGTCTTCAGAATCACTCAGGACGCATTGCAAACTGATACCTTTGACTATGAGCCTGAGTATTCAGAGATGGACAAGAGGCTGTGTGTGAATAGACTTTGTAGAGCAAAGTATCTGGATGAGCATGTTCTTAGGCGGACTGCGCGGCCCGTCCTGCATCAGAGAATCGGAGAAAAAAGACTGGAAATGGGCATTCGCGCCCGAGGTCTTCTAGACACGATCGAATTCTCCGAGGACTCCACGTTTGGCAGGCCACTTGGCCCCAGTGAAATCGATATCGAGGTGCATGCAATCGGGATAAACTACAAAGATTGCTTGACCTTGCTTGGTAAGTACGACTCGGATTACCTTGGATCCGAGTGCTCCGGCATTGTAAGCAAAGTTGGAAAAGGTGTTACCGAGTTCAAAGTTGGCGATAGGGTTCTTGTCGGCAACCTTGGCGTCTTCAAGACCTACGTCCGCACTACTGATCAAGCGGTCATTCGAATTCCCTGCACGATGACTTTTGTCGAGGCAGCGTCAATTTTTACGGCGTACTGTACCGCATACTATTGCCTCATTGACATAGCCCGTCTTCGAAAAAGTGATACCATTCTTATACATGCCGCTGCTGGGGGAACAGGGCAGGCAATGATTCAGCTTGCACAGTACGTCGGCGCCGAAGTGTTCACCACGGTCGGCTCAGAGACGAAGAAGAAGCTCTTGATGAACGTATACGGTATTCCGGATGACCATATCTTATATTCGAGGGACGACTCCTTCGCAGACGGCATAAAGCGTATGACAGGCGGACGTGGACTGGACGTCGTCATCAATTCTCAGCAAGGGCGACTTCTCGAGGCGTCCTGGGAATGTATCGCCCCTTTCGGTCACTTCATTGATATAGGGCTGAAAGACGCGTTTTTGAGGGGCCACTTACCAATGCATGTTTTTACACGGACTGCTTCATTTTCTGGCGTAAATCTGGCTGCCATGTGCGAGCGCAAAGACGGACTCAACAAGAGGTTGATGAAGGAAGTGATGAATCTCTTTGTGAATAAGAAGCTTCAGGTTGGAAGCCCGCTCAATATCTACCCTCTTGAAGAGGCTGAGCAGGCTATCCGCTTCCTCCAGAGCGGAAAAAGTTCAGGCAAGATTGTTCTGAAAGTAGACAAGGGCGCGTCACTTCCGGTGAGTTCTCAACATACGAGCCGTTCTCAAGAACTCATACTGATATAATGACAGATTGTACAAGGCTCAGAATCAAAATACTGCTTCCATGAAGACGCCACCTACGTGATTGCGGGTGGTCTTGGTGGAATAGGCCGCAGTATGGCGCGGTGGCTCGTTCACCGTGGTGCACGCAATCTCATCCTTCTTTCTCGATCTGGTCCGCACGGCAGTGAACAAGCGCAGGAAATGTTGGCTGAGATGTGCGAGGCTGGAGTCAATGTACAATGCCCTTCCTGCGATATCACGGAACTGTCGTCACTGAGGAGTGCGCTACTGGAATGTTCAAAGACAATGCCGCCAATTCGGGGCTGCATCCAAGCCGCCATGGTTCTTCGAGTAAGTCATCCACGTCTCCAACGCACGCGCCTCACAGAACTGATGATGACAGGATTCCACCTTCATTAATATGTCCATAGAAGAATGGCAACAGGCGACTCAGCCAAAAATCCAAGGATCTTGGAATCTGCACCTTGCACTGCCTTCTGGAATGGCTTTCTTTATCCTGCTGTCTTCCTTCTGTGGCATCTTTGGCAACGCCGGCCAGTCCAACTACTCAGCCGGCAATACTTACCAAGACGCCTTTGCAGGCTACCGCACCTCAATCGGAGAAAAGACTGTTGCTCTGGACTTGGGAATTGTGCTCGGGGAAGGGTTCGTGGCTAACAGTCAAGAAGTCCTGGATCGCCTACTAAGACTGGATCTACTCCGTCCAAACACGCTGCCCGAGATCTTTGCCTTGATTGATTACTATTGTAACCCCGATCTTGGGTCAATTGAGCCGTTCCAAAGCCAGGTTGTCACCGGCTTTGAATTACCTGCCGACATTGAAGGAAAAGGAAAAGAGATTCCCAATGCAATGCTTCAGCGCATTTTTCGTTGCATGCAGCAAGCCGAAGGATCGCACAAGCATTCGCTGGCTTCAAACTCGAAAGTCCAATCGTTTAGAACTGCATTTGCTAGCGCCGCGTCGTCAAGTTTAGGCAGTCTTGTCGTGTTGGAAGCATTGCGAGTAAAGCTGAGCAGGGTCTTGGGCTTGTCAATCGAGCATATTGATCTCGATTCGGCGTTAGATAGCTTTGGAGTTGATTCATTGGTTGGGTTGGAGCTGCGGAACTGGCTGGCTAACGAGACCGGTGCCGATCTTGCTGTCTATGAAATCCTCGGTGGGGCGACATTGAAGAGTATTGCGGAGACGGTCACATCAAAGAGTTCTATACGCCCAGAGAGTTGGAATAAGTAACGAGAAACGACAGGGAAAATCGGTGCTGCATCTAAAGGATTCGATGTGCCAAGGCTCGCCGTTGAATGAGTTCAAGAAGAAGAAGCCCGAAAAGAATAGAAAGGGGTATTACTTAGACTCGAGCTATGTTACTTTAAACTACCAACATGAATTATCCGCTTCACATAATTCACCATTTCCCTTCCGCTCTTCTTTCATTATCTTCTCATAATCTTAACTTTCATTTGAGGTAGGAAAGAAATTGAAGCGATTTGACAAATCTAGAGTGAAACCCGCCCATCGATTTCTTAACTACAAGTATGCTGGCTGGATTAGTTCCTGGAACAACCCTCTTCTTTGCCAACTGCCCGACTTTTCAGAATTCATTAACTACGGTATTGATCGCAGATTTCACCATGCCGGCGTTATTCGCCTTAGCCTTGAAACGGCGGACGGGATTTGTAACGCGACGATGGTAGTTATAGGCCTTTTCTGCAGCTTCAGTTTCCTCTAATTCAGTCCATGATTCCTTTTTAGCCTTCGCCCTCGCCGCAGTACACAGTTTCTTCACCTCCAGAGTTAAGGCTTCAGCATCCTTTTTAGCGCTCATAATATCACCGCAAACAGGGGAGGCTTGAATAACGCCAGCATAATCAATTGTCTATCGTATCATGAGCAATGTTCCACAAGCTATCGCTGTGAAGTTCTAGAAGCCTTCGGTGTATACGTCTGAAACCAGATCATCCTGACCAGCTTGATGTCTGGTGCCGCAGTCGATCCCCACTCAGTGGTGGCCAGACAGACGAAAATTAGTTTGCGAACGGGATCATCGCTCTTAAGGACATCCCACCAAGTGCAATACTCACCGACTAAGCACGCGCACTAGTCACTCGCCTTAGCAAAGAGATATGAGTCATATTGTTTGGCGGTGCTGCCCCCTTATCGGTGAAGCGCAAGGATACGCGGTCATTTCAGGATGACGGAAAGGAAAGGCGACGCGAAAACAGAAAGCGTAGTAATAGATTTCGGTTTTGAAAACCCGGACAATGCATTGCCCGATCTAACTAGCCAGATACGTCAAATTCAAACCCTTAGAAAACCGAGGTGCAAACCTCAAGGTTCCGAGGTTGTTGATTGCGGGTCGATAGGAATAGATGCTGAGGATGGAGGTGAAACAATGCATTGAACGAGGTAAGTGATGTATTGGATGAGCATCTATCTAGGCTACGTACGCCGTATATATACTCTGTGTGTGTGGAGGCTTACGTAGCCGTACCGTAGAACTGTGAGGGCTAAGTATAGGAACCGTGTTCTATATCAAGGTAGCCGAGCTAACCGTACCATACTCCGTAGGCTAGCTGGCTAAGAATACGTACTCTGTCAAGACTAGGTGCCAGAAACAGGTAGTACGATATTCCAATGTGCACCCAAGCAATTTCCTTTCCCGTTCAGGAAACTGAGCTGCTCATGCTCCAGCCTGAGCTGTGGCTGTGCTGGGTGAGCGCATCCTGAGCGGAGACTGAGCGCATCCTGAGCCGAGACTGAGCGCATCCTGAGCCGAGACTGAGCAGCTCGTTGGACTCCAGTTTTGGGCCCTGTATTCGACAGGGAGTGTTGAGCCTGGGATCCTCACCCTGCCTCGGAGGGTCATTTCCGGGCCCATAGGCCTGCCAGGTTCCAGTTTCAGGCCCCAATTCTCGAGTAAACTTACCCTTGATGGAAAACAGCTCAAGACTCACGCGTTGGAGGATTAAGGTTATCGATAAGTAAGGCTTGTCACAAATATCAAATTCATGACTTCGCCAAGTTTCTGCAACGCCTTTACGCATCCATCCAAAATGTCAGGTTCCGACTCAGAAGGCGGTGTTCCACTTATAGAGCCTGTGTCTAAGGCAACAGCGCCATCAGCAGTCTCCAAGAAGCGGAAGCGAGAAGCAGAAGCTGAAGCCGAAGCAAAGAAGAAAAAGAAGCCCAAGCAATAAAAGAAGAAGAAGCCCAAAAATATCCTAAATAAAGACCTAAATGAGCACTCGGCGTAAATGTTGCGTTTGCGCGTTACTGCATTCAGAAGGTCTCAATCAGTTGCAATAAAGACAACTCTCTCTAACTCTTTCGAGCATCTCTACTTTTGCTTGTCGGCGACGGCGAAGCAAAGAGCCCCGAACTCCAGCCTCAGGCGGGAATCGAGGTTGAATAAGCGGGACCCGTCTACCACATAATTACAAGCGACCCCGCAGTGGTCAGCCCCCGGTTCTCGCCGATCTGCTCGACCGATATCGACCGACTTGTTTTGTATAAGTGGAATTCGTCACGAGGCCTGACTTTCTTTACTCAGCTGTCTAGATGCCATTCCGTCCTCTTCAGCTATTCAACACCTCTACCAGAGTGTTCCGCCAGGCTACTGCATACCTTACCTTCAAGCGTCCATTCAACACTCAGAATCGATCCCTCATGTCTCCTAAGCCAAACCTAGTCTTCGTCCCAGGCTCATGGCATGGCCCCGAATGCTACTCCAAAGTAGTAGCGCTCCTTGAGCCGCAGGGCTTCAAGTCCACCGTCGTAGACCTTCCATCAACACAATCGGATCCAGCAAAGAACCTCACCGACGACATCAAAGCCGTCGCCAGGGTAATTGAAACATAAACCACAGCCGGCCACGACGTTGTCGTGGTCGTCTGGTCCTAAGGGGGCGTAGTTGGCAGCAGCGCCATCCAAGGGTTCACCTCTGCATCAGCAAAAGGTCGCGTGGTCGGCATGGTGTACATGGCAACTGGCTTCAACCCCGCCGGCGTGAAAATGAGCTTCCTCGGTGGGCTAGGAGGCAAGCCGCCGCCATTGTGGAAGATGAATGAGGAGACTGGCTTTGCTGAGATTGTTGGTAAGGTGGATTGGTTGCCGACAAAATAATATGAACAGCTAACGCGTTTCACTAGTTGATTCCAGGGAGATGTTCTACAATAACCTCCCCGAGGACGAGGGCAATGCTTTAGTCGCGAAGCTCCGGAAGCAGAGCCTCGCTTCGCTGACAGAGGCGAGCGAGCTAGCCTACGCGGGCTGGATGGACGTACCGGTATGGTATTTGGCGACTGTGCAGGACAAGGGGCTGCCGGTTGAGGCGCAGAGGATGTTTGTGCAGATGGCGAAGGATGCGGGAGGCGATGTGACGTTGGAGGAGGCGGATAGTAGTCATTCGGTTATGTTGAGCAAGCCGAAAGAGACGGCGGAGTTCATAGTGAGGGCTGTGGCGGCCTTCGAAGGAAAGAAGGAGTAAGATGCACTATAGGATGTTCCCATGGTGTGATTTGTATGTTTAGTCCCTGAATATATACCCAAACACCTCTCTTCTCCGGAATAGTGGTTTATCCTTGAATGATACTTAAGGGGACACAGAACGCTTGCCGATGCTTAGCACTATGTTTCATCCCTTTTCTTTGAGAGAAAGGCCAACGCCATTGTAGCTTATTTTTTAAGCTTTGTAGTGTACGGTAAGAAAGGAGCTAAAGTCGCGCAGTGTTTCGAGGCGCGACAGGCATCCGTCGAAATCTAAGTATTTCCTAGATTTATTCTCTCCCTCACTTTTAGAACACATCCTTGTATATTCCGGGCTCTCATTACAGAGAAATAAAGCTATCCCGGCCCCCTAGAGCATTGCCAAAACCGCAGATCTGCTTTTGACGATCCGACGAGACTTACTAGCTTACTTGAACGCGTTAATTACTAGCATGAATAGAGGAGTAGCAATAAGCAGCGCAAATTGTGCCATTTCACTGTTAAAGACAGCTTCTCCAACTTTAATAGATGAAGGTATTTAGAGACGGAGCTTGTGTGCGTAGTTCCTCGTAAAGCTCCCCAAGGAACGGAAGAGCAAATATCTTCACAGCAGAAGAAATCAAAATAAGAAAAAGAGATAACACTAGAATAGGAGAACGATGTTGGCATAAAGTGAAGAGAGAATGAGAATGGAAGTGGACGCGAAAGGGAAGTGGAGATGTGGACGCGAAGGAGAGGTGGAAGGCAATGCAGAGGAAAGATTGGAGAAGCTCAGAGATTGTTGGATTCGAGTTCCAAAACTCAAGACTAGAATAAATGAATACTTTTACTTTCCTTGAATTTAAACATACCTAGTAATGAGATCTACAATCTCGATTGTATTTCACTCTTCCAACATGCAAGCATATAGCCTCGAAACTTTCAGATAGAAACGTTAAACCCAGCCACGAGTTTTCAAACTCCAAGTATGCCACACAATAATCATACACGAAGTACATGCCACCTTCCCAGAAAAACCTTTTCTCTTCCCTAATTGCTTCTCTAATCATCCTTCCCCTCATCCCTCCTTGGCTTAAAGTTCGTCTAATTTCCATTATAAAACTGTCGCTCGCGATCCCTCTAATCTCCACCTCTCTCCTGCTCCCGTTGATCTGCGAGCGTCCTCACCCTCCCGTCCCCACCAGTAAGACATCAATGCGATGTCTCCCTTCGTAAAATTTGAAAGATTGTTCATCATCTAACAGACTGGATAACAGTAAGAATCGTTTGTCTTTTAGTTAATTAATCGGGCCTCTATATAACTAAGGCATAGGGTCCAAAAAAGGTCCCACAAGGGGACCAATATGGCCCATCTTAATCCAATGAATCCGCCACGTTTGCCTCGCGAGGATCCTGAAAATGGACCCTAGATAAGACCAGAAATGGGACCTCTAGATGGTTCTAAGAGCTCTGCAGCTAACATAGTTTGTATTAACAAAGGAAGTTGCTTAGGGAGCCGGGAATCTAACCTCCCCTCCTGCGTTCTTTATCAGCTCCTGTGTGTAACGACTCGTACCCTTCGATGTAGCCCTGCAAGAAGGCTAGTCTGGGAGCTTGCTTTATAGACGGCATTGGTGGCAACAGCGCATCTGTGGAGGTAGAGGACCGCTTTCGCCGGGGTGGCGCTAACGCTTCGGCCTGAGATGCAACTTCTAGCTGTGCTTAAGCATCGAGCTCTCGGGCTTATAGTTTGCGGCTTTTGTTATGTCCAGGCTACGTCGGACATTTCTGCGGATGTCGTCGGAGCCTAGTTTCGTCCACTCTACAGACAGTCACGTTCCTAAGACGGCACGTTCTTAAGACGGCATGTTCTTAAGACGGCATATTCCTAAGACGGTATGCTCCTAAGACGGCCATAGTCCTAAGACAGCCATGGTCTTAAAACGGTAGCATCTCAAGACAAGGACGTTCTCCAGACAGTCCCGCTCTTAAGATAGACCCGTCTTGAGTTAGTTATATTCTCAAGATAGACATGCTCGCAAGACGGTGATGTACCAAGACGCTGACGTTCTCAAGACGATCATGTTCTCAGGAAAAGTGCCGTTGCGTGGGGCATCTTATCTCCGGGGACCCGTTTTCGGACCACTCTCCTGACTGTTCTATTCCCGAGCAGGGATAAGCCATGACCACCATCGTTCCTTGCTGTACCTATTTCTAGAGAGACATATTCTAGTTCAGGGTGAAATCATCCGCATCCGCATCAGGACGTTTCAAGCTACCTCTAGGTGGCATGCTACCGATTGTCTCTCGATCTAGGTGGGTGAACAGATGAACGCTTATAGCAGCTCTTTAACAGCCTCACGTTGATTCTAGTAGAAGAATATAGCGAATGGAGCGGAACTTGGCCGTGTAGCGACTTTGGCAATCACATAATAATTAGTATTTTACTCTTTATTATAATAAAAGAATATAATTTGGGCGCTAGTACCTGTACACCCCCTTTTTAGTAGTTATACACCCCCCTTTCTAGTAGTTGTACACCCCCTAAACCCCTGTCGTTTCACCGCCCTCTAATTGGCTCGGAGCACTGCGCCGGAGCTCCGGTTATTCACCTATACATCACGTGAGGCTATACGAATCGGCGTGCAGCCTTTCCGATTCGTGCAGCCTCGCCGATTTGTATAGCCTCACGTACGAGCTCACGTACGGCTATACGAATCGGCGTGAAATAGGTTGGCAGCATTCTGCTCTTCTGTAGCCTCACCGATTCGTGTAGCCTCACGTACGAGCTCACGTAGTATAAGTATAAGTCTAAGTCTAAGTATAGAATAGAAATTCTATTCTAGAAGTGCCTACGTGTCTACAAGCATGCTAGACCTGTCAAAACCTCACCTTATTACGGCTCCCTTGCATCGAGCCTAGCCCCCTCGCATCACCGCCTCCGCCTGCTCAATATCTCGGTCAATTTCCGCCTCAATATCTTCATCATACGTCGCAAGCTGACGTAGAAGCTCCTCTCGGCTAAGCCTCTGTGCCTGAGGATGAGGCTGAGGCTGAGGCTGAGGCGTAGGCTGAGGCGTAGGCTGAGTACTATCTTGCCTCTGAGCTCGTGCCTTTTTCCGTGGTACCTTATCCTTTGCACCAGGCGGCCGGCCGCGCTTTTTAGCTGCAGGTGCAGCCGTAAGTGTAGCCGTAGGTGTAGCCGTAGGTGTTGCTGTATGCGCTGCTGTATGCGCTGCCGTAGGCGCTGCTATATTGTGGACGGAGAAGAAAAGGATGTAATTAATTGTGATCAAGGCCGCATTTGGAGAGAGCATTTGGAATTAGTGAGCAAGTTAAGCGAGCGAATCGGAGGCTACGGAGCACCCCTCCGAGCCAATCAGAAGGTGGTGAAACGACAGGGGGGGAGGGGGTGTACGCGCAGTGAAAAGGGGGTGTACGTATAGGAATTAGGGGGTATGGCATTAGCAGCGCCCAAAGATAGATTCTGTAATAAGCACTAATAATATTTAAATTATCTTTCTATATTTCTACTTCTATAGCTATAAAGTATACTATATAGAAGTTTTGGACTATTTAGAAAATTCTGAAATTTTGGTTAATTTTGATGGGGGATTTTGGTGGGAAATCGAAGGAATCGTGCACGAGCTTGTACCGTGCACGAGCCCGTATTTACTTCTATATGCGAAAAGGTAGTTGAGGGGCCCTAATATATGACCTAGGATAGATTTAAGGTCCCTCGCTAATACTTGACAGTTTCTGGTATAGCAGTCTAAGACTGCGCCGCAGTGGGTGAGTAAGGGTGAGCAAGGGTGAGTAGACCTGAGCCGAAGCTGAGCCGGGCCTGAGCCGAACTCAGCCACAGCGGCGTTGGATCACGTGAGCGGCGGGGGTCGGGCAGCGTGCACATTGGGGTGTTGAAACAGGATCTATAGTGGGCACTAGAACAGGACCCTTTGAAACTTGGGCACAGCCGCACCTTAAATCCGATACCCTGCAGAATCCCGGCTTGGCTCTAGCACTAGGAGTAACTCTCAAAGCGCCCAACTGCTACAGCTGGGCGTGTTAGTTTTTCAGATAGAGGGATCTTGATTATCGTTGGGGTGCTCATTCTCGTTCTCGTCTTTGGTGCGAGGCGATAAGGCTGAGCTAAATCGGCTGCGGGCTTGTGAAGCCTGGGCGCCAAGCAGACTTGCGAGAGCTTAGCTCTCGCAAGTCCCTCCGCGCTTGCTTTCCTTGATTGCAACCCCTCATGTTATTGGAGGTGGGACGCACATGTCGTCGGTTAACTCGATGGGGATGGTCGCGAACGTAGAGTTGCGCGAGCAATTGGATCCGGTCTAGCTCCTGGTTCTAGGCATGATCACAGCAACAGGCCACAAAGAAGCTAAGGTAGTGTGCGATCAGCGAAACGCCAACAGGGCCGTAGCGGCATTGGCAAGGAGTTCGGCCAGGTGGTGAAGAACATGTTGCATTTGTACAGAGACGTGATAACAGACTTCAACTCACTCGACTCCTTGGTCGAGAACCTAAACTCGGGTATGCACCTGCATGACAACGTGTCCGACAGCATGGTCGAGGTCACCAACACGGGCTCCGACGAAATAGACAAGATCCTCACTATCGTGAGGTCGATCATGATGACGATAGAGAGCTTGGATAGGCGCATATGGACACGACTATCGTCGACCTCTCGATCATCTCCTCGGGGATGGGTGCGCCGCATATATAGGTTAGCTTCGTGTACGAGCCGTTGTTCTCCATCGCGTCGATCACGGGAACGATGGTCGTGGTCGTCTCCCCATCTAGGACCGTGAAGGCGTAGGAGCTTGGAGGCGTTTCAGTGGTCATGGTGTAGGCGCAGAAAATGGACAGCCATTAAGCAGCGTGGGGTGTGGTAGGACGAGGGAGAGGAGACTCCGTCTCGCGAAGCTCATGCAGCGTTACCTGCAGATACGTTCGCAGAACGAGTCGGAACGAGTCGGAACGGGAATCGAGGTATCAAGCTTGCGAGATCATGGGACCCTTCGCGGAGGTCAATTGGAACCAACCTGCGACCAGATCCGAGTCGCCGCCCGTGAGTCCTACGGTGCAATTAATGAGACTTCCCGAGCGTTCCCGAGCACCACCTGCAAACTTCTCCCGTCCATTCAGGAAGCGAGAGAGCTCTCATCGATCGGATAGTATGATGGATTGATGAGTGTAAGGCGCCTCCCGGATGATCTGTCCCGGTGACACAGTAAGTCACTGCCTTTCTTTTCCATGAAACCATTCGCTTCTATGCTCCTATGGAGACCAACCTGTAGTTGAATCACTCTCTTTATCCCCAAACATTCTCCAGTTCTCATAAATCTGCTACTATACTCTATGTAGTCCATCTCTGAATCAATTTCCCTTTTGGGTATCACCTTTGGCTATGTCTCTTAATGCTTTTTTATCACTTCGTTTCTTTCTCAAGACGCTTCAGGATCCTCCACGTGAAAGTGCTTCCCTCGTTGTGCCGTCTCATTTTTCTCAGAGCTCGTTTTTTCGTGAAATACGAACATTGAACCATTCATGTTTCGCACTTCCTTTCGTAATCTCATCCACGCATTCGATCTGTATAGTGGTGCTCTCAATACTTCGCATTCATCGAGACTGGCAAGGTCACCATCACAAAAAGTGACACACATCAGAGGTATAACACTGTCGGGGTTGCTTCGATGGGGTTTATGATGCCACAAGACTCACAGAGGTTTGGTTTTCCCTGAGTAAATTGGAGAGATATCTATCCGTGCGAGTCGAATCCGCGTGAGTTTTGGGGCTCTGTAAACGTCGTTAAAGCACCCCTAATAGTGTCATCATCCTGGAGTGGGTCTCACTTTTTATGACGGTGAGAATGACGATTAGGTTCGCGGGGCGGCGAAGAGCGGGGAACATGCTGCTGTGCCAGCGTGTCAAAAAGCTTGGCACCAAGCACGCAGACTGAGTGGTGCGATAGAGGCAAGGCTGTGGCATAGGTAGGCAAATGCGCTTTTCATGCGGCTGGGTGGCACCAGCCGCCTGCTTTCCTTGTGGTCGCGCTCTTCTCGTGTTATTGACTCGGGTTGTAACAGCTACAACCTAGGATCAACAACTCATACGGTTCACGGTCACCTACGTACAGACTTGGAGTTGCTGGCATAGTAGCTGCCTACATGCCTAGCCAGTTACAACTTCTACAGAGAGGGGTTGGGGTACGGTGGCCTACCCTGCCTAATGCTGCCTACTGCTGCCTCCAATTAGTGCTTCTGCCTATGCATACAGTCACTTCCTACGTAGTATATAGTTTGGCCTTCGGGCCCCCGAAATAAGACAGAGTTCACATCAATTTTCAACCTGAGTTATTGCGTTCAATTCAGAATCGACTAGTGTGGTATTATAAAAACAACATTATGTTCCACCAGGCCCTCCCTCATCAACCCGTCCTCGACGTCTCTAGCAAGTTGCCATCTCCATTATAATATTGTCGATGTGAATCGTGTTGGAGATGCCCTCTCCACACGCAGCCTCGATGTAGAACGTGGTATCCAACACTCCCGAATCCGTCAAGACATACCTGTGCGTCGTGGGGCTATAGACTTCCGTCTTCGAATCCGCAAACTGCATGTACGCGCTCACCGTGACCCACTCCCCGGAAGCGGGGACGGGCTGGCCGACCTGGGTCATCGAGCACGTATTGGTTGCGTCCGTGTTCGCGTAGTAGGGCATGCTGGGCGCGTACTGGTGGAAGAACTGGCCGTTGCTGGTTTGGCCGAAGATGTAGCAGTCGCTGCCCGAGGCGAAGGGGCCGGTGGACTCCATCATGTAGGAGAACGTGACTTTGTACCACGTGTTGGCCTGCGCCGCGCTGATCGTTTGTCTCATGGTCAGCATGGACGAGTCCTCGCCGGAGGGCGTGTTCATGGTGAAGATGAAATGCGGGCTGTTGGTCGGCGAGTCGGAGGTGCCGACGATTGGCTCGTCGGAGGTGCCGGTGTTTTGCAGCACGGAGACGGTCCAGCCAGCCAGGTTTCCGGTGTTGAAGTCGCCGTTGGTTATGAGGTTAGTGGCTGTTAGTCTACGGGAGTTGTTAGCCTGCTGTGTTTAGGTGCGGAGTAACATCGAAAATACTCACGTAGCCGAAGTTGTGCTGGTGGTAGTGGACACCACAGCGCTAGATGCCGCAGCGCTTGATGTAGAGCTGGCCACATCAGAGCTAGATGTAGAGCTGGCCGCAGCAGAACTGGACGTAGAGCTGGCCGCAGCAGAGCTGGATATAGAGCCAGCTGCAGCCGAGGAGCTTGTTGTGGTTGACGACGAGCCAGAGACAAGAAGCGCTCCCCAAACGCCATCGTTGGACTGTGGCTCGCCTGCCGTGGACTTCATGTAGCACGGGCCGGGCGTTCCAGGAACGTAGGAGACGTCAATGCAGCCAGCAGTTGAGCTACAGGTCTGTCGTAGTGGTTAGCCGCATGTTCATTGTAGAGCAGTGGCCTTTACTTACCGCAATACAGCTCTCGAGGCTAGACTCCCAAGACATCGAAAGATCACCTCCGTAACGATCCTTCGAACATTCTAGCTCATATATCGCGCCAGTAGCATCCACGTAGCAGAGACCGTCTGCTGCGGGACACGAGAGGGCCTCGGTTGTGAAGCCGTTGGTGCAAACTGAGGGAGTTGCGGTCGGAGTTGGCGCGGCAGTTGACGAGGGGGTTGGAGTGGGCGTGGGCGTGGGGATGGCAGACTTTTTAATAGCACCCCAGACACTTGAGTCCGAGCTCCCTGCGCCGACAGTGTTCTTGAGATAGCATGGACCGGGAGTCCCAGATATGTAGGAGACATCGACACATCCATCCGTCGTCTCACAGCTCTTTTGTCCTGGTCAGCAACGCATATTGATATTGGGGACTGAGGTTTACTCACTTCTATACAGTCTCCAAAGCTGCTCTCCCAGGTCATGGGTATGTCATTTCCATAGCGATCTACAGAGCACTCAATAGTGTAGACAGTGCCATCGGTCGCAGTGTAGTCGTTGCCATCGGAGTCGGGACATGAGACGGGTGGGACGACCTTCTTTGCAGCCCAGACCCCAGTGGTAGCCACGAAATCACCGTCAGTCGAGCTCTTCGGCCAACAAGCGCCTCCATTGTAGGAGACGCCAGCACAGCCCGTCGTGTTGTCGCAAGTGGAGAGACAGTCCTCAAAATCGCTTGTCCAGACCAGGTTGCCAAGATTGTTGCCAAGGTAGTCGTAGTCGCAAGTTATGAGGAAAGAAGACGTATCAACCTGAACAGTCTGCCCATCCGCGTCGGGGCATTGCAGGGTGGAATCTCTCTGAGGAAGTCTGAGGGGAGAAGCAGCAATCAAGGTGGGTACAACAACCAGAAGCGCAGCAGCGTGCGCGAAAGAGAAACGAGGCATAACGAATGACTTGGCAAATTACATAATGGTACAAGCGAGTGTGGGAATCCGGAGGATGAGAGATGAGAGACTGGCTGGAGAAAGAGGTCCATGGCTGGCAACCTGAGTTTATATCTCGGCCCCTAAGAGAATAATGTGCCGTGTACGCGTCTAGCTTGTCTCCGGTAGTAAACAAGACGTCGGCCTTTTGGAGTGCTAGTGGCGCTTTTCGACACCTGTGGCCGCCTTCAGAATCCCATCCCATGACCAGAACGGACTGGTATTGATCAAAACAGGCAAGCATGGTCCGCTGTCAGGCACCCACGAGGCTCGGCTAGATGCAGGGCTTGAGTCAATCCGATAGTTAGCGTTAGGAGCGGCACAGCGGGTTCTGGCTTTGGGAGTCTATGGGTGTCGTTGAGGAAGCGGGCCTCTTCAGGGGCCAAGCCATCCAGAGCGAGCAACCAATATTGCTTAGCGGCTCAGCCCCAGACCCCGAACGCGTGCTAGATCGATCCAGGCCCGCCAGCCGCCACAAATCCGCCACAAATCTGCCACAGCACGATAGTCCTGATTTCAGGCATGGGAATGTTTGCGTTAGGCGATATCCCCGCGGCTTTTCCTGCCGTCGGAAGACTTTGGCGCGCGCTAAGTGGGCTGTACCTACATCCGCCCTACCACTAGTACCATCTAGATGCCATGTGGCTTGCGCAAGACGGGCACTCCGCGGCCGTCGTTCCCTAATTAGATATAAGCATTAAACCAAGCTTTCTGTCGGGGCCGCTTTTGCCGGTATATGCCCCTTTTGAGCGTCATGTGAGCAAAGGCAGTAAAAGAAGCAGAGGTAACCACGTATAGGGATCCGCAGAGGCCTTTCAGAGGGGACGCTTTGTGCCCTTGATCTAGTATAAACCTCTCCCAAGAATAGCCCTGGATGGTTCGGTTAGAAGCAATCTCTAGAAATGAAGTATCGTCAACCAGGTCTTAAGCACTGTATGCGCTTCGTGATGGCGTATGCTTGATGCGCAGCTCTGCTATAAGCACCTTGCCTACCGCAGCGACAGTAATGGAGGGGGGCGGTTTGTGTTCTTGATTGATAATTTGACGCGAGGCGGTGTGAACGATGTCGGGTTGCGGGACAGCGAGGCTGAAGACGCTGGATGGGATGATCTTCTCCATCTGATTAGATTGCAGAGCATCACGTGATCAAGATCTGTGCTTCGAGGACCGCCTTCTCCCCTTTCTCCTTTGTACCCTTGTAGATACAAACAACGCCACCACCTTTGATGCACGTTGCTCACGGCTGTTGTAACCCTCAACACCATGCTTCTGGGATCTCGAGTGGATTTCTGTTCATTCGATGGGCGATTCAGTGTAATCCAGCGAACCTCGCGGTTCCGCTAGTTCTACTAAGATCCTTCGAGCTTCACAATGACCTGACACTTTTTACCTTGTATTTACAGGTTCGCAAAGCTCTTCCTCAAACACACCCTACATTGTATGATATGTCAGTACCTTTCTTCTCCCTATAAAAGCGTCCAAAGATGCCTGCAACATCCCCACACAACTCATCCTCCAGAGTCATCAAGCATCAAAATGCCAACCTACATCTATGAAAAAACACCGTACGTTAGCTCCCCCACGGGACCCATGGGCCGGCTTGATCAGCTCGGACGTCCTAACATACTACCTAGCCGAACGCCTCCGACTCAAGAAGTCCGAGGCCCTCCTCGAGATGTGCGCCGAGCTCCGCTGCGACGCCGACTAGCAGAACCGCGTCGCAGACCTCTTCCCGCGCCACCGAGGCATTCAGAAGTACAAAGCGCTAATCGACATCCAGCAGAAACGTGCCGCGAAGCTGATCCGTGAAATTGAGAAGAATGGCCGCGACATGACGGAGGACGAAATGGATGCCTGTATGCAGGAGTTCTTGAAGGCTCGATCGAGCAACTGGTCGGACCAGGAGGCGAAATTCGGGCCTTGCGATATCAAGGTTAGCTTTGGAGCCGGAGTCAACTGGAACAGTTGTAGACGGGTGAGCATGTTTGAAATACCTCCCGTCTCTCCAAAAAGTGGCCCAGCGCGGCCCCAGTGGCCGCAGTGGCCTCCCGAACCCCCGCCTTCTGTGCCACGGTTGAAACAGAAGACTCAGCGATCTCCGATTGACTAGAGACGCGGATTGAAGAGCCCTGGTGCGTCTGGAGATGGCCCTCTCAGCTTGGAGTGTTTTTGAGCTGGCTGACAACGCTGCGGGCGTACAGCGGGACGTTCATCCGGGGAAAGGCGAGGGTGAAGTACCTCAACGGCGTTGCGGGACATTCGGTGCCCTCGGAGGTGGCATTGTCCGGGTCGGTACCCTGCCAGCAACTCATGTAAAGAACGAGCCTGCGCTTCAAGGCAGGGCAGGAAGATGAGGGTTATCGGTCGGCCGATAGAGCGTTCGGCGGCAGACTCATCTCAGTGAGGGCGGACGGGACGGAGGGATGATGAGGGCGTTGTTTCTACGCGACTTGGGGAGGTAGTCTGCAGGCGGCGACGGGAAAGGTTAAAAAGGCAGTGCAAAAAAGACCTGGAGGTGACAGGAATTAAATGATAGCACGTCGGTCGTCGGTGAGTGCTTGACGAACGAGCTTCTGCAGCTGCTGGAGATGTGCGGGGTTGAGTGCTGGGTGTTGTCATTGTCGGGGGGGGGGACGAGGGGGTTGCAAGAAGGTTCATCCTCTCAACAAGGGGGTTTAACGGGCAACACGAATTGCGCATCCAGTTACAAGAGACGTGCTCCGACCAGGCACCGACTCCACCGTTTCATAAGCGTTTCACTTTCGGCGCTTCGCGAGAAGGCACCTAACTTTAGAATTTGCCAAGTCCACTTGTCCAAATGCGTCCAAGCGTATTCTTTCCTGGACTTAAAGCCCACGAAACACGTATTCTTCGTCGCAGGGACCTTATCTCAACACTTCTCTGCCACAAACTATGCGGTCCCTTTTTGCTCTACTTGTAGGTGAACTTTTGCAATACGGGAGACGATTCTCACACAGTTTAGGACGATACTAGCAATGGATTGTTGCTCAACGACGCTTGCGCCGGAATAAGAGAAGAGAAGGTAGGGTACCTATTACTGACGTTATAGATTTGGCTGAACTTTGAGTAGGTTATTTCACTAGGCAAAGCTTTTTTGTCAGCACTCGCAGTGGCACAAGCTGAAGATCTGGAAGTAGTTTGCTCAAGACTCTTGCCACATAAGCTTATTATCAATCGAACTCCGGGCTCCTTGACGGTCACCTGGGAAATTCTAGTCGAACATCTGTCTCCACCAACCTTGATTGAAGGTTTGCCTTCCGAAGCCATCGGTGCCGAAAGTAGTCCGTCATCACGTCCGACTAGTCCAACTCAGCCAGCAACAGTAGAGACGCTTTGCGACCGGGACCTCTTCGCCACATATACTACGTTAGAAGATCCATCTCCGGTGCACAATACGGCTGAGCCGACGGCAAGCGTCCACTTGGAGGCTGTGGATTATCGTCACGACTTGGAGATGCAGGAATATGTCGAAATGCCCCCAGCAAGCTGCAGCACATCTCCAACATTGCACAAAGACAACATACCGAATACGACACGTCATAAGCCGGCTTGCGGTGCATGTGAATTGGCAAGCGAAACTCCACACGAATCGCACACCACCTCCCCACCGTCTTCCCCTCGAGACCTTGACTCAAATGATTGTGCCTTGGACTCGTCGCAGATTTCCCAACCTTATGGTCGAAGTTCGTCACAGATTGAATCAGGATGCTCACAATCTCATTTTCTAGCAGCCTTTACTGTATTAACGTCTATATACAGTAGCCATTCCGAGTACGCCCTTAAGCCCGATGTTATAATAGAAATTATCAAACTCGGCGACTCGTTTCTATGAGTGGATTTAGAAACTTTCGTAGAATCTTTCCGCCTTGGTAGCCGGAATGGTTTTTGGGATCGTCCTTCCTTAACTAATCCGACCCAGGATGGCACAATTACAGAAAGGTTGTTCAAGGGTTTCCACTATGCTGAGATACTTGAAAAAGGTTCCGTAGTGGATCCAGTCAGGCTCCGAGTGGCTAGAATCGTTCTCTATCACTACTATGAGCAGTTATGCATAGATTTACGAAACAATTCAAACATGCTAAGCCAACGCTCTCGCGGCAGGAACACAGCCAGCATTGCAACCGACAAAATCCTTGAAGAGATGGCTAGCTCTCAAATTGATCAAGCTGATTTGCGGACACCGAAGCAGCGCCGAGAAAGTCTGCAAAAGCACAAGAAGATCGGCAAACGGTGGTGCATGGTAGCTGCTCATCTTGGATTAGGCATTGTGTTGGTTTGTCACCCCAATCTTGAAACTCAAATGTAAGAAGCACATCCGTGTACACAGCGCAAGCTTACCACTCTATAGCAATGATACCAGATTCACTGAGGGCATGTTAGCAGCTCTTCTAACTTATATAATTCATGCATACCCTTAAGGTGTCGAAATAAGTCGGACATTAGACTCTGTAGTTAGGTGTCTCATAAAAGGAAGCCTACCTCCCTCGCCATGGCTTAGCGTAGGGACACTTACTGCTATAGCTGGATACACACAGAGTGAAGAGAAGGAGAGCAACAAACTTAGAGATGATTGGCAACTAGTAGAAGTTCCAAAGGGCTTCGTACAGATAGTGTATTACCTATTAGCAAATTCTCTCGCCTCCAAAGGTAGTACTTGGCGAGAAACATTTGCGGCCACGAACCAGTCGGGCACTGGCCCAGTCCTGTAGCGTCATTCACGCAGGTTGCGACGTTGTCGATGCTGTCGATGGTACCACCCGTGATGTCCCGATCGCCCAGATTGGTCAGAGACTCCACTATGAAACCAGAGGTCTGAACCTGCGTCCGAACTGTCGGCAGCGAACGAAAAGGGAGTCCGGGGAGAAGATGGGTGTGCAAGGGCTGGTATAGCCAAGTAGCTCAGTACACTCGATCAAAGATTAGAGTCGACTAACGTACCAGTACAAATTCGGCCCGAATTTGTACTGATATGTGAGTCGTACCGACACACCATTGTAATGGTACAAACTGTGAATGCCAGGGACCAGTATGGGCTCCGTACCATTCCTGTTGAGCAAGTGATTGTGTCTTCATTTATTGTCTGGCTATGGATGGGCGGGGTGCCTCATATATGTATCCATTCTCACCCCTTGTCACATCGTTTCAGCCACCATTAACCGTGACATTCAACACTCCCACTCGATGGCTATCTTCACTAGGAAGAGTGCTAGCGACAATTTGTCACGGCTCTAACAGACCCCGTTAAAACCTTCAAAAACCTTAAAGGCAAAAAGAGAAGGAAAGGGTGCCTGTGTTCTGCCTCCGCTCGAAGCTGATAGTTCGTGCGGATCACTCGATACCTAGCCCTCTCCGAAACTATTTAAATCTGTCTCGTGCAAGAGGCTTGGTAAATCTATCGGCGATTTGTGCTGTAGTTGGAACATACTTCAGTTCAACTGTTCCAGCGTCTTAAACCTCTCCTTGCCACTTGCGCTGGATTTCCATATACTTTGTGCGTAAGTAGTACTGTAGGTTTAAGAATAGAGCAATAGCTCCCTGGTTATTACTATATATAATTATTGCAGCTTTTCCTTAGCCTATATTTAGCTTATTAAGGAGTCTTTTTAACTAAATTACCTTTTTAGTTACTTATATCTATCCTATAAATTCTGCTTTATAGGTTAATAGAGTAATAATACTCTAGCGCTTAAACTGCTAGCTAATTGCTCTGCTTCTAATATTAAATAGGTATCCAGCTATTAATTATCTTATATTATAATATCTAGCCTAGTCTGCATTTATAAAACCTTTTAATATCTAAAGGTAACCTTTATATATAAGTCTAAGATTTTTTATACTTTTAAGGTACTGTAGAATATATTAAGTAAGCTTTATATATTATAGCCTAGGATTTACTAAATACCGGCTTACTATAGAAACTATATATATAATATCTCCTCTAGTTCTAAGTATAATATATATTAGAAATTCTATAATATATTAGTATTCCGCTTTTTAATCTAGAAAGCAGTTATATTCTAGAATATTTTCTAATAGTAGTAAGGTTTCTATTAGCATGCTAATAGGAGCGTAGTTGTCGATTCTAAACTAATAAATAACCTTATTAATATAAGCTTTTTAACTTAGGTATAGTATTCTATTCTAATAGTTTTACTAAATAGATATCCTAAAATAGTAGCTATATAGTCTAAGGTCTATTATTTAGAAATAGTTTCTTAGGCCTTTCTTAATTCTTTTAATTTCTATAATACTTAGTCTAATAATTAGAAGGTTATTAATATATACTGCGATATATATATTACTTTATATAAAAATTCTAAGGTTAGTATTAATTAGTTTAAAGCTAAGACTATATAAAAAGTTTATAAAAGTCTAATACTAAATATAAAAAGCTTACTTTAGGCTATAAAGTACTTTCTAAAGTTTATAGACCTTTAGTATGCCGTCCGCTATATAGTATAGCTATTTAATATAGATTTTATAGTCTATATTACTATATAGAAAGGCCGTTTTAACGTCTATTTATTTAATTTTAAAGCCTAGGTATTACAACCCGTAATACGAACAACCCGAGCGCAGAGGCACTCGCGGAGACAAGCAAGCAGATAAGACTAATTACGCAGAACCAGGTTACGGGACTAAAAGGGTTACGTATAGAACGCATAGGGATCTTAGATTCCCCCACGGATTGCTGGTGGATAGGAACGATCTAAGAAGAGGATATCACGAGGACAGGGTCACGTAATAGCTCGTTAAGCTCGCGGAGAGAAGTAAGCATAGAGCCGAACGAGCGCTCGTCGGGCTTAAGGCGCTCGAGGGTTGCAAGCTCTAAGAGCAGGACAAGTAAAGAGGTTTTTTAGGACGGAGCTTTTATATAAAGGGACGCTCCTTTATATAGATAGAAACCTTATATTTAACTTAAGACTTTAATACTACCTATTAGAAGTAACAACCCCGTTTTAGACCTTAATTAATTATTGCCTCACCTTTTAAAGACTATTGCACCCTAATAATAACTTACCTATACCCTGCCTTAGTATAAAATACTTAGAAGGTATAGAAGAGACAACTTATTATACTTTAAACACCGCTATATTAAAGGAGTCGCATACGGACAATTAATTAAAATAGCCCTACTAACCCCTTCGGGTAGCATAACTGCTGGACTAACCCTAACTATAACCGAGGTAGCAACACGCATGCAGGCGTTGCTTACACAAATATAAACACTGGAAGAAGCTAGCAATACTAAGAATAAAGAGATTACAGCCCTATAGGGAAATCTCTAGACTATCTAAGAAAAGTTTACTACTACTAGAGTAGTTAGCTATAGAGGCTATAAGATAAATAAGCCTAAAGAGTTTACTAGGAAAAGAGGAGCTTTACGAGCGTTTATAACATAGATAAGGCTATACCTGCGCACAAACTAAAGCAACCTTAAATTTAAATTAGATAAGGTCTGCATGGCAGCCACCTTCTTAAAGAAAGAAGCGTTTAACTAGTTCAACCCAATGCTTATAGATTAGCTTGGTAACGCCGACGCAGACGATCGGAAACTAGAAACCAATGTTATATTTAGCAACTATAGATACTTTAAGTTAGCACTTTAGATAACCTTCGGAAACACTAACAAAGAACAAATAGCGGAACAGAAAATAGCAGTTCTAAAGCAGAAGGGCTTAACTAGCCGCTATACTTTAGAATTTATATAAATCGCGTCTAAGCTATTATAGGGAGATAAAGCTCTGCAAGTATAGTACTACAGAGGTCTTAAAGAAAATATTAAGAATAAAATTGCATAAGGCGAAAGGCCTCTAATACTCTATAAATTTAAGGAAATAGCAATATAAATCGACAGTTAATAGTATAAGCGATAACTAGAACAAGCAGATAAAAGAGGACTTTATCCTTACGCCTAACTAGCCAGACCAAAGCTAAGAGTAACCAACTATAACTATAGAAATTGCATAGAGATTAATATTATAAAACAACGCAACAACTAGAAGGGTAGACTAATTACCGATAAAAAAAGGTAAGAAAGAAGACGCAACAGCGCATGCCTATTGTGCGGAGAATAGGGACACTTCGCGAATAAGTGCTCTAGGAACACCAGAACAGCAGCCGTTATAATAAAGCCGAATATAGACCGCCACAATTCTATATTATAGACCGCGTGCTATAATAACAACTGCTTTACCTATTAGTTAGATAAGTAAGTAATAGGGTACTATCTAACGTAAAGGGCAAAAGGACGTACTATTACTATAATAAGGAATAAAAAGTATAACAGCAACCCTACAGATAACTACTACGCAGACGTAGAAGTTAAGAGTATAGAGATTAACTACCCGTTAGAAACGGATAAGGTGTTCCAGATAATCGGACCGCGATTAGAACCCTAAACCAACGTACCCGAGCTACTAGACAACAGCAAAGCCGAGTTACTAAACACGGAAGTACAGGTCGACAGAGTTATAGCTACGTACGAATAAAGCGCAAGAGAAATTCTCGCACGCCTTAATAAAGGATAAGAAGCGCAAGAGGCTAAAAACGCCACAGCGGGCGCAGAGCTAAGAGTACTAGCTAGTTACTAATTCCTAAAAGCTATAGGAAGAGTTATAGAACAGCTTACTAGAGAAGAAGAAATAAGAATAGCCGCAGCCGCAGGGATATTAATAGCAACTATTAGCGCAGAAACCTGCGCAAGATTAGATATATTAGAAGGCCTAAGCCGTAATATCTGGCAAGAACTAGACAATAAATCACCTGTTAAGGATAGTAAGGAGTACTATAATAGTAATAAAAATTGCGAACTAGAAAAGTAGTCTAGCAATAGAGAATTTAGTATAGGGCCAGAGTAAAAGCCGCTAGAGCTATATAGAAGGTAAACTAAGATTAAGATCTATAGAGCTTTATACTCTATTAGGGAAACAGGTGTTTATAATAAGGAAGATAAATAGCTGGATAGAAACTACCTATTTTATAGATAGATATCTTAGGTATTTTATATTAAAGATAAATATAATAAGTATATAATATACAAGAAACATCGAGGATAGTACCTATATTAGACAAGATATTATATTATTACGCAACTAGTACTATTTAAGGAAATAGAGTACTATATTATAGGTAAGAAAAACA